CTTAAAGGACACAAAATTCTATACCACTTTACTAACTTTAGATTTTAAAATAGAATATATTTTCTTTAGCAGAATTTAGCTACACAGCACAAGAAAAACTAAATTATACAAAGGTAGCCAAAAAATAAAAAAGACAAAAGGAGGGAAAAAAAAAGATAGTTCTATTTAAATAAAAGAAATACCTACTTTTAAAAATTCTTTTTCTATCATGGTGTTCAAAGTCTATTACTTGCATATTTTAAAAATATATTATGACTCCATCATCACTAGCCAAATCAGTCAGCAGAAGACAGAAAATCTATTGACTCTTGTAATAATTCTATTTTATTATTAAAAATTGGAACCATTGCCAATCTACTTAAAATAATCAGCCCAGTAGCTTCACCATTTCTGGAAATTGTGATGGTGGCTATGAAAATACAAGGTAACTGTGAAGGATTAGCCACCATATTCATTCATTTAGCATGCGTTAAATATTTAGTTGTCTGTTTCTATAGCATTATGTCCAACATTGTTTCCTTTAAATAAGGAAAAATATAACAACTATGGATTTTCAAATATAAATAAATAAGAAAAAATAAAGAGACATCAGACTCTTAACCAACAAGGGAATGAATTATGATAATAGAAAAAGTAATACAATAATGTTCCTTTCAGTGTTCATTTTAAAACAATTCATTAATGAAAAAAGAAAGAGGGTAGGTAAATTCAATTCATAATGTAGGATATGCAGAGATGAAATAAGATAGGATATGATAATGTCCTAAGCCTCAAGTTACTTAAAAATTCAGTACACTCAAGTGTCAGGGGCAAACTATAGCACAATTAGAAATGAAGAAAAAGCATACTCAAATTATGATTAAATTATTAAAAAATAAGATATGTTGCTACTTTTGACCAACTGGTAGTCTTAATTAACTTCTTCCTACCATCCCATCAATTCTAATTATTCCTATGTTTGACTTATGCAAAGTGAGAGTTTAATTTCAAAGAAATGGTTCTCTAGAGTGTGAATGAGATTGTTTTCCAAACTTATATTTATAAAACAAACAAAAGTAAAAAAGAAAACACCTTACTGCATAACCATAGCAAGACCTCAATTTTTAGTCTAGATCTCAACCCATATTATGTTTTTAACAACCAAAACATGCAGAAGGTAAGTTGTAAGAGAACATCAAATGACCCCATTTCTACTAAAATACTTCAAAATATTTTTTAACACAATCTATGCATCTAGCAGTACAGAGAACATAAATAGATTACTCATGTAATTAATGTAATATATTTCCTATGATTATACATGCAAAGCATGAAATTCTATCTTAAAGGTCTGGGAAATTGAAGGAAATATTGCTAAAATAGCTTTATGACATAGTTTTATTTTTCTTTCTACAACATCATATAGATGTGCCTCATTGTTTCAGAAAGTCAAATTCACATCCCTTAAACAGTACATGTATGTTATATTACAGATGTACAGTAACTTATTACAGCATAACTTATGGTATATGATAATGCATTAAACATCCCAACACAAGTGCTAATATGATTAGGAAATCACCAAATGATCCCAGAGGAGCATGACTGTATCCTTCTTATCCTTCAGTCTTAGCTTATTTGTCCCTGCCTTTGAAAGGCTGTCCCTTTAAATTAACCCTGTATTGGTCACCACGACATTACATTGCTGCTTCCCAATTTACATAGCACTTACCACTATCTGAAATTATCTTGTTTATTTCCTTTGTTTTTGTCTGTCTTCCTCCACCAAAACGTAAGCTCCATAAGCACAGGTACTTTCTGAGTCTTGCTCACCACTGAATCCCCATTACACAGAACAGCGTCAGCACACAGTAGCACTTGATAAAAAGTATCGAATAAATAAATCAGGGTAATTAGCTCAAACAATAATGTATACTAAACCAGAAAAAGCTAGCAAGGAAGAATGGAATTTAGAGAACGATAGATTCATGGATAACCCTACTCAAAGAAACTGGCACCTCTAAACTGTGAAGGCAACCATTTAAAAATTTAGCATCCATATCCTATACGATTAAGCAAGAGAGCACTTCCTTTCTCACAACACAATTACCTCTGTGAGCAGTTTTATTTTAAGGGAGACTTCACTACAAGGCCACTCCAACCACCACTCTACTGCCCTATACTTCCCTATCAGGCATTACCGGCCCACTTGAATTAATAATTTATCCGCTACATCAAGTTCAGACATGCCTTGTCTTCCCCATTTCTATACCATGACCCTTTTCCAAATAAGCCTCTTTGCAAACCCCACAGACTCCTCACCAGTGCTCTACCAGAAACGTCACTGAAGGGAATGGTAAAAGTAACACAGAACAGATCTTGCTTTGTTTTCAGATGGAAGCTGGTTGTTTACTCATCAATTCTCCCAAAGACGTAAACTTATTGTGGAGGCAATAAGAGGGGACGGTTTCTTAGGCACATACTAGCTCTAAGTTCTTGGCAATTCACTTAGCATCGCTATGTTTCAGTCTCCTCATCTGTAAAACAGGAATAATCTCATCTGTCTCAGAGATTCTGTGAGGATTCAATGAACTAATACATGTATGGCAATTAATATACTGCAAGACATGCAGAAAGCATCAATAAACGGGGCTGCTTTCATTAGGCAGATGATGATGATGATAATGATGCTGGTTTTTACCACTACATTATGAACTGGAGGGCAATGACAATGCTTGGGTCCTGATAAGATTCAAACGTAACTTAAAAACGTGAAAGGGGGACAACAGCTTCCTCATTTCGCTGCTTCCAGACCCTTCCTCATTAAATCAATCTCCAGCACCTGCCATTTGCCTAATTTAGGGGTAGGGAAGTGGGGTCAAAACCAGATAGAAGCAAAGAGTGGGAACTACCTAGTAGCATCGGGGGCAATCGAGGGAATTTGCTTAATTATCCTCCTGCTTATGCCCCAGAGAGTCGCAAAGGCAGAGTAAACAGCGCTCCTAGAGCTTCTGGTTACGGTAACCCGCGTTCAGAAATGGCCAGTGCACACCCTGGAGACGCCTCCTTCACCAGCTCGTAGGAGCAGAAAAAAAGGCCCAGTTTTATCAATAGCAGGCGGTTCTCCGGGTGCGGCCGGAGTTTATTTACCCCAAACCTCTGCTTTCGCCCCAGCGCCGCACGTCTACCTCCCTGGGAGCCTCTGATGAGGCTCCATCCCGAGGGCCCACCAAGCAGTGTCAGCATCGAGCATCACCTCTGCTTTCGTTGCCGCCGGCGCCCAGGAACCCGCCTCCTCACACCAGCGCCTTTCCAGGGGATTGAGGTCCGGGAGCCCAGCACTGGCGCTCCCCATTCGTCCGAAGCCCGCCCTTAGCTCCTCTGAGCGCCAATTTCGCCTCGCCCGGTGGCCTCGCAACAGGCACCCTCTGAGTTAAGCCCCTTCGGCACGTACACACCTGATCTCCCACGGCACGGTCACCTTTCGTTCCCTCACCACGGGCCTCGTCAGGAAGCAAACGGCTCAATAGGTACTAACAGAGAACAGCTCGGTCCGCCGCCGCCTTCTCCTTCTCCTCCCGGCCATATTACCGGTCTCAGGAGGCAACGCGGGCTCCAGGCAACGGCCGCCACCGCCCGGACTCCACCTCTCTAGGCAGGCACTTCCGGTGGTTGCTTCCCGGGCTGCCGAAACGGTTGGGCCACCAGAAAACTACAAGCCCCAAGGTGCGTAAGCGTCCTGGCCCAATGATGGAGGGCTTATTACTTGTGAGCAGCGCCGTACACGATGGGAAATGTAGTCTTCACTGCAAGCTAACGCCTCTACCATTATAATTAGAATGGAAACTGTCCCTTTTTCTGTGGTCTTTGGAAAAGCATACGATATTCACCAAAATTTTTTTTCTGTAAATAAAAAATTGCGGAATCTTATATGCCACCTCTAAAAGTTAAGACATCTCTTATCCTTTTGCAAATCAGTGGGAAAATAACGTGAGAGAGAGGTAGCATGTTCAAGATGGCAGGAAGAGCCCCGAATGTTTCGTCAAAGTTCTCTATCTAAACATGTTACCAGCTTTCCGAAATATGATGTAGTGGCCCGTTTCATTTCCTAACTCGGTTTTACCTTCTGCCTCCTTCCCATGTGTATTTTTACATATGTAAAGTAAGAGTTTTAAAAGTGATTGTCACAGGTTAGTTATGAGGAACAACATAATCCTTGCACAGTACCTGGTACATAAGCCCCACTATTGGTCCTTAGGAGTTGGAGAAGGTTAGGAGGAAAAGTAGCGGTGGAGAAGTCGCTGGCCTAAAACTGGGGTGACTTGATGTCAGTCCAGACTCAGCAATTAACTACCCAATTCACTTCACCTCTCCTGTCCTCAGTGTTCTCACTTATGAAATGAAGGAATCATTAAAATCCCTTCCATTTTTATAGTCCGATTATACTTCCTTTTGATATGCTTTTTCATTCCCTAAGAATCTGAAAAATCCTTCTAAAGTCGACTGGATTTAGTCTCCTGAGATAACACCAACCCACTGAGGCTGTTGTGAAAATTCATGAGATAATGCACGAAGCATTTGCTCACACAGAACCTGGAACATGCTAAGTACTCTATAAATGTTAGCTGTACTCCCTAACACCATTATTTTCTCCCATGAGAATGTAAGTCCCAGACGAACAGGGACCCCGTAGGGTCCTGTTCACTGCTGTGTCCTGAGCTCCCGGATTGGTTTTTTGGCACACTTTGAATTGAATAGTCCTGGGAAGTGTCCTCGAGGGCAGAATGAAGCACTCACTAAGATCCCTTGCCGTCGTACAACCGTACAACGGCTCTTGCATTCCTGTCCTTCTGGAATATGAAAGCCGGTTGAAGTCAGGACCCTGAGTAACCCAAAAGCCCCTTTTGGAACGTGAGCCTAGAACCTGGGCCCGCCTCTGCCGTCATCCAGTGGCTCCGCCCCCGATCTCCAGAGATCCCCCACCCTGATTGGCTAGACTGCGGGCTCTCTCTCCGGATGTGACCGCCGCCGCCGCCATTGTGCGGCGCTGTACCCCTCGAAGGGTGCTTCTTAGGCGAGTGCTTGGGGCTCTTGCCCTTGCTTCTCGCTGTCCTATTGCTGGAGCCCGGCGGGTCCGGGACTCCCGTCCGTGCCGGTGCGGGCGCCGGCATGTGGGTGTGGGAGGAAGAGGGGGGCCTCCTGGGCCCCTTCTCCTTCATACTACTGCTGCTCTTGCTGGTGACACGCAGCCCCTTCAATGCCTGCCTCTTCACCGGCAGCCTCTACCTCCTGCTGCGCCTCTTCAGCTTTGAGCCTTTGCCCTCCCGCAGGGCCCTGCAGGTGCTCAAGCCTAGGGACCGCGTTTCCGCCATCGCCCACCGCGGCGGCAGCCACGACGCGCCCGAGAATACGCTGGCGGCTATTCGGCAGGTGAGCCTCCTCCCCAGCCCCCCTCGCCTCGCGCCGCTCCTGGGAGCTTGGACTTTTGCTCGTCCTTCCGAAGGTTCCCCAGCGTCCTCATGATAGCCTTCCCAGTAGCCTGTTCGTTCACCAGAAAGTCTCTGAAGTGACCCTCGATCCCTTCGAAGTCTGGAAAGGCTCCCGACTTCAAGTATTTATAGAACACGGCAAGTACTACATATTTGCTATGTGCCAGGCACTGAGAATACAATCATGAACACGACAGTCATAAACACGACATTCATGGACGCTCTCTTTCACAGAGCTTGCATTGGAGAAAGGGAGACAGCCTTAAACAAGTAAATACATAAATGAGACGCTTTTAAGAGAGCGAAAAGTGTAATGAAGAAATAGGGCAATGGGATAAGGAATGACTGATAAGACCTCCACAAACTTAAGCTCTTTAGTCCAAGGATCTGTAGATTGATTTGGTCAACACTTTGTGGCTCCCTCCTATCTTGTGGCCTTCGTATTATACTTGACACGTCTTATGCTTGGAAAACTTTCCCCCCAGATCTTTGCATAGTTGACTCCCTTTTATTATTATGGTCTCAACTCACATGTCATATTCTTAGAGATGCCTCCCCCTGGCTGCCCTGTCTAGTGACCCTTACCTGCTTTGGCCTTCATATTGCATTCTATTTTCTCTATTTTCTTTTTAAGAAACATTTGTCACTATCATAATGTACATGTATCATGTTTGTAGCCTGTTTCTCCCTACTAAAATGTGAGATCCATGATTCTTTTCTTTCTTGCTCACCACTCTCTTGTCACTGCTGATACATAGGGGGCACTTGATAAGTATTTGTTGGAAGGACTGTGAAGTACAAGTAGTCAGTAAGCCCCATGAAAAAAGATACCCAACATTATCACCCACCCGGAAAATGCAAATCAAAATCACAATGAAATACTGCTTCATACCCATTAGAATGTCTGTAATCAAAAACAAATGTTGTTGAGGATATGGAGAAATTGGAACCTTATACTACTGGTGGGAAAACAGCCCAACAGTTCCTCAAAAGGTGAAACAGAGTTACCGTTTCATCCAACAGTTCCACTCCTAGGTATACACCTAAAAGAATTGAAATGTAAAAACTTGTATATTAATATTAATAGCATTATTCATAATAGTCAAAAAGTGGAAACAAAAATGTCCATCCACTGAGGAATAGATGAAGTAAATGTGAAAGGAATCAGTAAGAGTAGCTGTCTACTTAGCCCTGTTGGTTACCTTGAGTGTTTATATTGCAAAATGACACTTGACATTAATATTGTTGATGGTTTTGTTAAGGCAGCTAAGAATGGAGCAACAGGCGTGGAGTTGGACATTGAGTTTACTTCTGATGGAATTCCTGTTTTAATGCATGATAACACAGTAGATAGGACAACAGATGGCACTGGGCGATTGTGTGATTTGACATTTGAACAAATTAGGAAGCTTAATCCTGCAGCAAATCACAGATTAAGGTAAGTGGTTTATTTTCATTTAAACATTTCTTCAGATTTTGTTGGAGATCAGAGACAGACAGTGGCACCTTCAAGCTACATCTGCTTCCAGGAGGGTTGTTTTGCGGTGTTTTATTTTGAACTGTATATAGGTTTTCCAAGTAAAAAGAAGGTTCCAGGAACAACTGAAATCTGTCATGGATTTTTTCATCTTTTCCCACTAAGGCCAAATTTGGCTTCAGAATTATTCTCAAAACAATACTCTGTCTAGTCACTAAAATGACAGTTACTTTGTAGTGTCATATAAATTGTGTGTGTGTGTGTATGTGTGTGTCGGATATGGTGTTATTTGAGTCAAACTGATGACATATGTTAGGGAGCAAGATCTCAAATACCTCTTTTTAAAGCTAAGATCTCATAGTTGAAATAATACAGTTGAATTAACATAAGTTAAATCATGTAGAGTGAAACTTTTATTTATTTTAAACATTTGAACTTAAATGAGCAACAGGATAGTCAACAGATTTATGTATTTTAAGAACTTTTCCTGCAAAGGTTCTGTTAGGGCAATTACAATGTCCAAATTAAGTCTGTGAGTTAACAGAGGTGGCATATACTCTGCCCTTGGGTGAGTAGCGCTGCTAATTATATTAACTCAGTGGAAATGCAGTGATTTCCTAAAAATTAAGTGATTTTTGTTGTTGCTGTTCTTTGGTCAGGAATATCTGTACTTTGGTTCAAGTCTTTATAGTAAATTGTCCTTAGACTTTAGTGTGGTCGAAAAATGGAAGTTGGGGAAAACACTTTCCTTTTGTTTGGCACATTTGTCAAATGCCTATTCCATTAAACTTGTTTTTCTCTCCCCCCCCCCCCCCCCCCCCGCCCCACAATGTGCTATGCCTTTTCCCTCTCTGACAGGAATGATTTCCCTGATGAAAAAATCCCTACCCTTAGAGAAGCAGTTGCAGAGTGCCTGAAGCATAACCTCACTGTCTTCTTTGATGTTAAAGGCCATGCAAATAAGGTACAGTTTATACCATAGATTTCACTTTTTTAAAAAGACATCTTTAATTGTTAGTCATTTCCAAAACTATATATTTTGTTATTTATTTTTAAATTATTTTTACAAATTATATTTGTTTAATGGAAGTATACAGTGCAGAAACCCACATCTGTAGGGAAAATGGTAAATTATAGAATCTTCCAAACTTTTTAACCTTTGATAGAACCTTTTAACAACTCCTGATAGTCTACAACTAGCACAAACAAAAGAGTCAGGTTTTTCTTACCTGCATAAAGCATTTGCCAAAGATATTAAATAAACAATAAACTACTAGTAAAGAGGAACTTCTTGAACAGACTGCTTAAGTAACTTCATAAATGGAATTCAGGAATTGGATATCATCATTTTCCTCTATCGAATGTCTTAGATGGACAACAACTAAGGATGAAATTTAAAGCTTCTGATAGCTAATAGGATATTTATCTTTTACACAGATTTATTCCTTCTGTATGATTTCTGTCCCTTTTGTATAGTTTTGTTATTCTGTGGTTTGAGTAGTTATACTTTTATCAGAAAATTACTATAATTTTTTCATATATGTATGATATTCCTAAATAAAATTTTGCCTACATTTTAGGACATACACTTTTACTCATAAAAACATATTTCAATGGAAAGAAGTAGGAAAATATGGTTCAGATTACATTTGTTCTCTTATAACCAGCTTTTCAAATACAAATATCTTTTTCCACATTTGGACAACTTGTGTATTTACCTCTAGCAATAGCTGTAATCAGTAATGACCATCTGCTGGTTTAGAATTCTGATGATGTCAATTTTTTTAATCAATTCCAGGATACAGTTGAAACCAGTTGTTAAAATCTGAAATATAAACCTCAGTATATATTCTAACTTTAGTACAGTAAACTATTTTTGATGAAAAAGGAGAATGGTGCCCTGGTTAATTTATTATTTTGCTAAATTGATAGTTCTAGGTTTTCCAGGTGCTCTGCATCAGAATCAGAATGGCTATTATAAATAAATGGATTTCTGAGCCATACCACCTAGATAAGAAATTCCAAAAATGTCTAGGATGGTGGGATAAAGGAACATGTATTTTTAATGTGCACTTCAGGTTTTGTTGATAATATGGCCCATTTTTGGGAACCCTGATGGGTTCTGCATTTCACCCTTGGTGTACTAACCTTCATGGTTATTCTCTTCAAATAAGAGGGAAGTTGGGGAGAGAAGAAGAAAACAATTTTAAAAAATACAGCTATTTAAGCTTTCGGGTTGGGTGCTCAGCAGGTAGTTTGGGCAAGACTGGGTAGAACATAGTGATCTAACTTATCATAGTGGTGTTATAAAGGAACAAGTGTTGGCAGCTAATTGGAGATAGAGCACAGGAGCCAAGATCATGGACTTACTTCCTCAACTTTGATAAGCTTCAGTTTTCTCACGGGAATAAAGAAAGACACTACCACATAAGGTTGTTGTGAGAATTAAATAAATGATGTAGGTGAAGAGTTATTACACACAGTGCCTATGATAGTTCAAACAGCAAGAAAATAACTTTGGCCCTATAGCTTGCATTAGTGAAGGGGAAGCATAACATGAATAATTTCTATGTTCTTTTTTCTTTTTTGGAATGCATGTTGTTGCTTATATTTGGTTATAGGTATATGTGGCTTTCCAAAAATTAACGTTATTTCAAGAATTTTGATGTAGCAGCATTATATTCAATGGCCAAAACTGTTAATTCACTAGAGCTTATAAAATGTCAATATTTTAATTCTGTTATTCTTCATTTATTAACTGGACTTCAAAAAGAAATTTCTGTTCATCTTGGGAAGAGCTGAGAGACTTCCAGGTGTTCTCATTTCCTCATTGCCCCATTGCTTCTGCCTTCTTGTTGATGATGGCTGATGTTTCCTCTCAGTCGCCTGGACTGAGAAAGTCTACCCATCGTAGTTCCTAGGCTGGTGGCTCATGCTTCAGCTAGGAAAAGCAGAGGGTGATAGAGCTGTAGGTATAAAAGGACTTTTCCTAGTGGCTAAACCAGGGTATAGGGAAAAGATTTTTAAATTTTGCTTCCAGTCTCCACTGGCCTACATCTGCTATATACTTCCCAAAAATATGACAAAGGGGATGGGCCTGAAGCAGGATAGAAAAGCAGGGATATCCCAACTTCTTTATCTGCTGCAGATGTGAGTTTAAAAGTATGCCAATGAATAGTAGGTTCTACTAGTACTCCTTTCAAAGTCCCTATATAAGTAAACTTCTGGTATATTTGGTAGGGTTGTACTTAATATATAATAGTTATTGCCTAAGACTATTACATTTAATAGATTTTAAATACATGGTCTGTTTTTTGGTTTTGTTTTTTTTTTATGATTTTACTTATTTATTTTTAGAGAGAGGGGAAGATAGGGAGAAAGAGAGGGAGAGAAACATGGATGTGAGACAGAAACATTGATCGGTTGCTTCTTGCAAGTGCCCAGACCAGGGACTGAAGCCACAACCCAGGCATGTGCTTTTGACTGGGAATTGAACCAGTGACCGTTCGCTTTGTGGGACAACGCCCAACCAACTGAACCACATCAGTCAGGGCAAATCTCTTATGTTTTACAGGCTACTGATGCTCTAAAGAAAATGTACATGGAGTTTCCTCAACTATACAATAATAGTATGGTCTGCTCTTTCTTGCCAGAAGTTATCTATAAGGTAAAATTCTGGACTTTTTAAAAACTTTTTTTTTTAAAGAGATTTTACTTATTTTTAGAGAAGGGAAGAGAGGGAGAAAGAGAGGAAGAGAAACATCAATGTGTGGTTGCACTTTGCATGCCCCCTGCTGGGGACTTGGCCTGCAACCCAGGCATGTGCCCTACACTGGGAATTGAACCGGCAATCCTTCGGTTCGCAGGCCGGTGCTCAATCCACTGAGCCACACCAGCCAGGGCTAAAATCATGGATTTTTGTTGTATGTAATCTTACTAGTTGATGATGATAATAGCAATGGGCTAAAGTAAACATGAGACAGGTACTTGTTAAATTGAACTGAATCAGTTAAGAAACACCTCTTTTAAATTGTCAGAGGAATTCAGGAAGGGGATTGTACTCATACCTCATTTTAAAATAACACAATTCCTTTTAGCTCCTTTTTTTATTTTTATAGGCTCATTCAGATTACTTTGATAAACGTTCTCAGAACACAGAATTATGCAGCTATACATCTCATTGAGTAACAGCAAAGTATACCTTTTAAAAAATAACTCTTAATTTTAGAGAACTTAAAATATTCATAAAGGCAATAGTAGTACAGTCAGCCCCTTTAACCATGATCCAGCTTGTTTTATTCGTACCCCCTTTTATCATCACCAGGGCTATTTTGAAGCAAATCCCAGACATCATATTTCATCCATTAAAATTGCATTAAGTATCTTTAAAAAGTTATTCTTTAAAAACAACCATAATACCATTATTTCATCTACAATCATTAACAATAAGTCTGCAAGATCATCAAATGTCCAGTTAGTACATACATTTTCATTTCACTAATTATGCCATGATACAAATCAGCACATTCTTCTTTGTATATTTCCTGTAAACAATTGCTGGTGAAAGCTAAAGGCTTGATCAAATTAGGTTCACTTGTTCTTGGCAAGACACTTTCATAGGTTAGGATATTTCTCCATCAGACAGCACATAACATCTGGCTGACTCTTGTGAGCAGTTACTCTTGATGCCAGTGGCTAGCTCTCAGTTTACTAGGGGTTGCAAAATGTTAATATTTTAATTCTATCATTTCATGTATTAGCTAAATATTTCTGTGGAAAGAAAGTCTCACCTACTATTTAGTTACCCACTAGGCAAATAAATGCTTAATTTTTCCTTGAATTTCCCAGTTTCCAAAGTAATGAGTTGCTTCAGTAGTGTTCTTCAACAGTGACCAACAGAGCATACATTTAAAATTTTACATTAAGATTGTAGCCTGTCCACATATAAACTGTCGTTGAGATGAATAGTGTCATAGGGCTTTCAGATATTTGGATCAGTGTTTTCCAAACTTACTTGGCCACAGAGACCTTTAAAATGTACATTATATTTTCCAGAGGAGCATAGAACACAGACTAAAAGAATTCCATCTGCATCTCCCTATTTCTCCTTTGCCCTCTTCCTATCCCCACTACCTACTCTTCTCCCCTCCTCTCATACATTCTCATCCCGCCTCCCCACCCCAACCACTCTTTTCAGCTATTTTCTGTAGAAGGGATTAAAAGCTAATCAGCCCATCTTGAAATGATCTTAGTTCTATCCTCATTGAGTTCTAATTATTTCTGGCCAGAATTTAAGTTGATGTCCAACTGAAAGTTTTTTTCTTGTGACATTGTTAAAACTTGATGCTGAGATTATAATTTTCTCATGTTAAAGATAGGATAGCAGTTCATTTACGATTGTGAAAGAAGTGTTCTTATTTATACTTACATTTATATTAAATGTTTTACATCCATCACATTATTTTCTCAATGGGTTTATGATAGAGTACTTATTTAGCAGACGTGGGGGGCAAGGAACCAACTCTGACTACCTCTTAGAAGGAGTACATTGGCTAAATTTAAATAAGTGGAAGGTATTGGATTTATAATTGTTTCATTTTCCCAAAATTCCTTTTCAGATGAGACAGACAGATCAGAATGTAGTAACGGCTTTAACTCACAGACCTTGGAGTCTTAGCCATACAGGAGATGGGAAACCACGCTATGACGCTTTGTGGAAACAGTCCATGTTCGTGGTCCTGGACATTTTGCTCGACTGGAGCATGCACAATATCTTGTGGTACCTGTGTGGAATTTCAGCTTTCCTTATACAAAAGGATTTTGTATCCCCGTAAGTTGGAAGGTGTTTTTGTCTTGTTCTGACACATCTCACGAACACTCTTCTTGGAAAGGAGTTAATGGTGAACATCCTGGGTTGGTTGCCACCTGCAAAGTCCACCATGCCTTTTTAAATTGGAATGCCACTAGCTTCTTAGGTGGGAAGAGTTCAGGCATATTTTATTTCCAAAATAAGTTGATCAAATATTCTTGGTTTTAAGTGCATTTTACAGAAAAAGTAAATTTACCAAACTGATGAGAGATTACATTTCCTCGTGATTGGCTCCCTTTGAAAACCAACATAGTATCCAGGTCAGACCACAATGAAGGTGTCCCTGTGGGTGCCTAACTCATCTCTCACATCTTTCTTCTCCCTCCCCCTATACCTTACAGGCTCTGCTTTGTCATTGCCAAGAAAGTTTTTGTTCCCTAATGTGCTGGCAATCTCTGAATCTTTCTTTTAGCAATTTTATAGCTGTGTATTATAATTTGTTTTATATTATTTCAAGGATGTGTATGCATATAATTCAATAAATATTTGGCGTGTGACTAGAGTAGTGCAGGGTACTATACTAAGAATCCGAAGATACTGTGGTAAAGAAACAAAATCATGACTGTCCTCATGGAGTTTGTAGTCAAATGGAAGAGATAGATGCTAATCATATAAAAATTCAGTAAATTTCAGCTAGGATAAATGCTTTGTAGGAGAGAACAGTGTACCTATATAATTTGACCTAGTTGGGGGCGTAAGGGAAAACATCTCCAAGGAGGTGACAACTAAGCTAAGGTCTGAAGGGTGAGTAGGAATTGAGGGAGGCAAGTGTGGAGATCAAGTCAGAGGGAGAAATGCGCAAAAGTGTTGTGGCAGGAAAGAGCCTGGTTCTTTCAAGGAACTGAACGAAAAACAATATTCTGCAGCACAGAAAAGAAAGGGGGAGTGTGTTTTAAGACAAGGCCAAAGAGACAGGTGGGTCTAAGGCAAGTATGGCCTCCAATATGACTTTGGGACGGGTTCTTTAGCAAGCCAGTGAAATGTTTTGAGCTGGAACAGGAGGAAGTTCTCATACTGGGTTTTGGAACACTCCCTTTGATTTCAGTGCAGAGGTCAGTTGAGAGGTTCTTTCTGAGCACTGTTAGTATTCAGGGAGTACCAGAGATAGTGCCCATTATAGATTCCTGGGCCAAGTGGTCATTGTTCTAATATATTTGGGGGTTTTTTTTTTTCCTCTTTCTCCAGGAACTACTTAAAGAAGTGGTCGGCTAAAGGCATTCAAGTTGTTGGTTGGACTGTTAATACCTTTGATGAAAAAAGTTACTACGAGTCCCATCTTGGTTCCAGCTATGTCACCGACAGCTTGGTGGAAGACTGTGCATCTCAGTTCTAGACTTTTCCCCAGGGAGGAAACCATGGGTACAGAGATTGCCTGCTGGCCTTAAGCAGGGATATTGAAAAACCCTTTGTGCTAGCCCCAAGCCATGGGGGATCAGGTGGCCAGCCAAGCAAGTCGGTAATTGCATTTTTACCCGAACCAAAGCAAAACCTGGTGTTGTCACTGTGCTCCATGGAATGCCTGAGTTAAATAATGTTGCTTTTGAAAATCTGGGTCTGCAGAAAGGCACAACAGCTGCTGCCCAGATCTAGCTGAGGCATAGACCGGAGACTCAGTGAGGATAAGCACAAATTGAGTTGTGCAGTTTGGGGGTGCAAATGCAAATGCATGGGAAATGCATGACCATTCAAAGTTGACATTTTAAAACTTGACACACTTAGGTAATTTACTTAAAATATTTGCATTCAGCTACATCATCAACGTACTGTAGATGTCAAACTTGTGATCAAACTATTAACAATCATTAAAAGGAACACTAAGGGAAAACTGCATATCAAGCATCATATCCTAGGACATAAGGAATTTAAGGAAGTTGCTGTCAGCAATCCAGTGACCAGGGGCAAACAGCTTCAGTGTGGTGCATAGGTTGGGGAAGTGTTGGCACCAGCCTGAGGAAATGTTTATGGTACGTATTTTGAAATAACTACAGGCCACTAGGGAGCAGAGTTGCACTCTTTCATGCTGCTCTACAACTGATGATCAGAGACAGTTCAAGGATATTAGGTATCATTTTACATGAGAAAACGGAAACCTGTGGAAAGGAAGGGTCTTCCTCAGGTATGATACAGCTGGTGACACAGCAGAGCCTGGTCTTAGCTGACGTGGTGGGGCAGGGTACCAACTAGGGCCAACAGTGTGGTGGTTTAACACATTATCTTTGTTGCACAAAACTCTTAGAGGTATTTGATTTTTGCTGATGAGAAAGCCGAGGCACTGTGAAGTTAGTCACTTACGCAAGGTCTCAAATTTCTTGGTGCAATTGGAACTCAAATCCAGGTTGGCCTGAACCTTTATAAAGCCCTTGATTCCCAGCTCCTTCCCACAGGAGTTTCCAGAGGGTCTTACTGTGAACTTAAATAGCAATATTTAAAATGAAGTTGAGTCTTTAAAAAATTGCAAAGCTGTCTTTCTCTTTTAGCTGCCCCACCTCCCACCTTACAGCCCTGTCAGTATGCAGCTTTAATCACAGGCCCCCCAGGTTAGTCCTAAGTTCTCTCCAGAGTCCCACTGGGTCACCAGCCTCACACTTGCAGCAGAAAGGCCACCAGTCCACACAGCTCAATGGCAGTGAGAAGCAAACTTGATTTTTTTACAGTTGGTGTTGGCAGTGGCATATAGTTGGGGCTTGGGACATTTTTAGTCAACATTTACAAAAGTTTTTCTTGAATTAAAAAATTAACAATAGGACAAAGATTTATTCAATAAATGGAACATAACTAAATTGCATGTATTTCCATGCCATGTTATGACCAGAATGATAACAGAAGAACGACTCAAAAATTCTGTGGACTGAATTCCTCCTTTGTGCCTTTGGAAACTGCAACTGGCAGGGAAGGAATTCCCTTTGGAGCAGTATAGTTAACATCATTTTTGTTGTGAAGTCCTTTGAGAGCCAATATACTGTCTTGACCTTTGTCCCAAATCCATTTTGCTCTTCACCTTACCGAATTAAGGATTTAGATGCTATGTTAAGGTGGTTTGGGCCTTGAAGAATGGAGAATTTGGAGAAGTTAAAAAGTACTGCTATTAAGCACCTACTTGGAAAGCTTGATAAAGGGGTTAAAAACAGGATGTAGGATCAGAAAAAGGTCAAACTGCTTTCCTGATCAGCAGCATACCAGCTGTATGATCTTGGGCAAGTTACTTAATTCATCTATAAAATAAGGGCAGTGTTAGTACCACCCCGGAGGGTGGCTGAGATTAAATGAAAGTGCAAGCAGGAGTCTTGATAACATTTACTGTAGACCATGCACTAGATACTGTTTCAAATGCTTAACATGTGTTTACTCTCCAGCAACACAGGTAGGTACCATTATACACTGAAGGAAACTAAAGCTCAAGGAAGGTAAATAGCTTATCTAAAGTCAAACAACAGTAATAGGATAAGGGTTCAGGCCCAGGTAATTAATTCTGGAGCTCACCCCCTAAATTCCTGTTTATCACGTCTGGTCCACACCTATAACAATGCCTGTGACGTAGTAGATGTTCAATAAATGTTCAAGGGATGAATTAAGATATATCAATGGAAACTTCCTTGAGGAAACTAAAGATACAGGGAGAAGAAAATTTGGGTGTTTAGATAAATGATTCAGGATTCAGCAGCATCAAGGGGCCATCCAAAATCCCAATAGATAGCATTCTGCTAAGAACATCAATGTTGATAGGAGAGACCTGGTTCTTGCTGATGCGTGTAAAGAATTACACATCAGCAAATTGTCCAGAAGAAGACTGGAGCTTGGCTAGGCAGGCCTTTCACGGTTCCCAGCACCATCAGCTGTGTTGCGTGATTTCCCGCTCTTAATCCAAACCTACATGACACCTTCTCATGGCCCACTAACAAGAGTCCTTTCTCCCCTTCCTGCATGGTCTTTGCATTGTTTCCCTGTGTCATGCAGTGAACCATCTCTGACCTCTCATGCACACGTGTTGTAACGGGGAGCTACCTTGTGTGGATGCTGCATCTTGCTTTCCTGCTTCCTAAGCTGCATGGTTAAAAACCTCTAGCATGGCTGCCATGCGAATCCTCCCCCCACAACCCCAACTCCGACTACAGCCGGGGAAGCAGCTTGCCAGTTACATCCTAGGTTAAAATTATGCCAACCTTCTTGGTTAGCCTTGCTGACAGCAAAATGACCATCTTTGCATGTGAGGAATGAAGCTCTCCAGCTGTTACTGACATGCAAAATGACTCTTAATGGCCCTGCTCCTTGTTTCCCATCCCTCAAGGCTGCCCACCTTGTGGAGTGGGTCGAAGAATATCCTATATTTTTCTTGGGCACCCCAAGTTCTGGGTCGTGTTACAAATCTGCTTTGGGGGCCCTGGCTGTACCCCGTTACATCAATACAGATAAAAATCTCATCTGCTGTTTATTGGACTGCACGTCTGCTCTCAGGAGTCTAGAGATAGGTAACAATGAAGAGCTATCTCAAAAGACCTAAAAAAATAAAAATTCACTCTTTAATCCACTGATTAAACAACACTTATTTTCTTATTTGGAGACTGGTGTCTAAAATCTTTTGACAAGAATTTCACCAAGACATAAGTATTCTTTTTTATTAGATGCAAATTTCTAAATAAAATTACACATACCATTTTCTAAAGTGGAAATAGTGCTTCAACAGGACAGTAAACCACAGCTTTGAGGACAACAAAGGTGTGAGTTAATGAAATGTTACAAATATCCACTCAAACCTTTAGCATGGAGTGATAATGGTAAGGTTACTTGATTTCTTTGGTCAAGAATACTGACAATGACTTTATGTGTTCTATCATTAAACTTTATGCTCAAAATCTTATCTTCAAACACCAAGTATTAAGAGGCTGGATATCAGCTAGGCACAGTGTCCCTTGAGACATTTATCCATCCTCGACTATGGGGGAACTTGTTACAAATGCAAATTCTCAAGAGCCCATCCCAGAACTACTGAAACTCTAGGTGAGGCTCGGGATTTGTTTTAATAAACCCTCCAGGAAGGTCTGATACTTGCACAAGTCTGCGAAACACTGAGCTAGAGAAAACCTGAAGTCCTCAATTCTGGCACTAATTAGTGATGAGACCTTAGACATATCACTTAACCTGTGTGTGCCTAAGTTTTCATCATCTAATCAAATAGAAATTATGATATTTGCACTAATTGTCTTATAGCAATAATGTTATGAGGTTCAAATGATAAAAGCGGAAGTGTTTTTAAAAAATGTGTTAACCATATAATACTATTGCTATAAAGATAAACTAAGAAAAATGTGGAGATGCTCTAAAAACATACTACTCAGGGTGTGGTCCTCAGACCCATAGCACTAGACAGAAAGACAGACTCTCAGGCCCTCTCCCCAACCTCACAAATTATAATCTGCTTTATAATAAGAGCTCTGGTGATTAAAGTGGGAAAGGCACTGAGGATAGAGTAACACCACACGAGTGTAAGGCACTACATGTATCAGGCAGGTGCAGTCATGAGTAAAGCAGAGGGTCCTTCTGCTCCACACTAGAGTGCCTCTCAGTGGTCTATCTTGCAGGTGATCAGAATGGAAATGCTGTGAAAAAGTCTCAACTTGGAGAAGTTAGGGGGGTGCTGCGAAGTGCTGGTTACCATACTCAGAGACAATTCTTATTCATGCGCCGAGCTCTTCCTACCTTTCCTCAATTCAAAGATTATAAAAACATATGCCAGTCTGTGTTATTTTAGTCACTCCTTTTATAACTGAATTTCACAGAAAATCCTCTAATAGCCTCATAAGAAATGAACTAGGCCGTTCACTGAGGCCACTGGAAGGATCAGATCCTGCAGAAATTCAAAAGAGAGGCTATCCTTTTTTTTATACTTAAAACTGCAGAGGTTATCCAGCTTTCAAGTGACTGTTGGAAAGCATGAGTTACTTTTATTATTTTGAACAAATTAAAATAAGGATTGGAAGAGGAAGATGGGGCGTGTTCCCTGAAGATTTCGATGCCACATTATTAGCTCAGTATTTGCATGTTTAATAAGTGCTTTGGGTGGCTTTTATGGTCAGGCAAGTTTGGAAAGAACTAGTCTAGATCCGAGCTCAGTAGTTCTCAACCCTGGCTTTTTACTGAAACCATTTGGTGAGCTTTAAAGAAAAAGTGTGCACGCCTGATTTAGTTCTTCTAGAGTGGGGCCTGGGCCTGGCTGTTGTCGGACAGCTCCCCATGTGATTCAGAGGCAGGATTGAGAACCCTGTTGCCTATAGGGACCGGGGAGGGGGAGGGGGAGAGCTGGCCCCTGTTATGGGCTGAACTGTGTGGATTCAAAATTACGTATGCTGAAATCTGAACCCCCAGTACCTCAGAAAGTAACCATATTTGGAGATATGGCTTTTAGGCAGGTGAATGAATTTAAAGGAAGCCATTAAGGTCAGTCCCATTCCAATCTGCCTGGTGTCCCCTTTTAAGAAGAGAACACTTGAACACATACATGTGCACCAGAATGTGCACACACTGAGGACAAAACCATGTAAGGGCACAGCAAGAATGTGGCCATCTGCAACCCAAAGCGAGAGGCCTCAGACTGAACCTGAAACTGTGAACACCAACACTTTGATCTTGGGCTTCTGGACAACAGAACTGAGAAAATAAATTGGTGCTGTTTAAGCCTCCCAGTCTGTGGTATTTGGTTATGGCAGCCCCAGAAAACTAATATATCTCCTATCTCAAGACCAAGTGTTAAAAGCATTCTCTACCAAACACGGGTGTGAGGTCTACAGAAGATCTCTCTACTGTGTTTATAACTCCGGGATAAGCAGAGGCTTTACAGAAGTGGAGACCCGATGGGGGTGACTGGAGATAGAAACCCTTAGCATATGGTGAGTCAGCAAAAAGACACTTTCAGAGGGAGTTACATTTAATATAGAAGCCAGAGAAACACAAACAGGATTAAAAAGAGACAGAGTCGAAAAAAACATTTCAAAAATCAATACCACAGGCTGCCTTCACTGACCCCACAGACAAGTTGTGTCCCAATTGTCACCTGGGCTTCTCCTTCACAGCACCTATCACAATTATAATTATTGTTTATTAAGCTCCTGCCTAAATTAATCTGCTACAGTAAGCGTATGAGGGCAGAGACTGTCTTGACTTGTTCACTATCTTGTTCACCATTTGGCCCATATTTGTAAAATGAATGAATGAATGAATGAATGAACACTACTAGCAACCACTAGCAAAGATGATGCCAAAAAAAATTAATTCAGTTGATGGAATCAATTAATGAATAAATAAGTGAATTAAAACGTGAATCCATGACTGAACACTGATTGGATGGTTATGTTTCAAATGTATCTTAAATGTTTTCTAAATTTTCTAAATTCAGTTCCAATTAGATTTCATGACAATGATTTCTCAAGAGGAGATTCCCCTCACCTTGAGTAGTTTAGTAACTGCACCTTTCTGCTGGACCCTTCAGTTTTAAGTACTTGTGAATCATTCAGCATATCTGCAAAAGAATGCTATATATACACACACACACATATACCTATATATATATATATACATACACACACACACACACACACACACACACACATATATTCCTCACATACCACTGGTCTCATGATTGGCTCAACATAAGAGTTTGATGTTCATGTATAAAACACCATAGGTCAGAGTCCCAGTCCACACACTTTTATGCCCGTCCAATCCCAAAGATGCATGAACTTGATATGCAATTAAGTTCATAGATGAGACCTCTGGTTTATTTTATCTTTGGGTAACATGGGGATATTTTTAGTTCAAAGTCATGAACAAATGCAGGTTCCACAACTCAGAGGCATTACATCCCTGACAGAGGATCACAGTTTTATTCAGGCTGGACCACTTGCCTTAGCACCATTTTCCAAACCTTTGTTAGGTCTGGGAGATCTGGGAAGAGAGATTTTTAAGGACCAGTAATTCATATGCACATTTCTTAAAAACAAAATACATCATTCCCAGGTTATCTCTTCCCAGGATTTTACAAACTAGTTAAAAATATTACAACAGTCTTTATTAGACAATCCCAAATATTTTATGTTAAAAAAAATCAGCAATTCAAGTGTAAAATACCAACAGGGAATGGCCAATTTTACTTCAGTATTTACACTGTGGTCAGTTTCCACTCCTGACAAATGGCTTGAATTCCCTTTTGAGAAGCTCTGGAAGTCCTATGTGTTGTGGAAGAAGGTGTTCCATTTTTATCTTCTTTCCTTATTTGATTAGTGTCTGGCTATTACAATAAACATCAGGCCTTTGGATTATCTTCTTGAACTGACCGCCTAAATCGCAGGTCTGGATTTGACACAGGAAAGAGAAGTTAGCACAAACACACACTGCCCCATCTCTGCAAATTGGCCTTCAAGATTGCTCAGCTTCTCCTGCCTTCCTTCCCTTCTCCTTTTAAGCTTCTTCAGTCCTGCCCTTTGTAGTCCCATCATTGGATGCTGTCAGTAAGTGCTATCCCCCAAAAGATGAATTGTTTTTTTTTTGTTTCCTCCCCAGCACTCATCTCCCTTCTTGTATTAACCACAGGTTTTCTTTGGGAAGTCACTCTTCCCCTGTAGCCTATATGGTTGTTCCACCTGTATCTACAGATGGGGCCTGCAGCTCAGATCCGGCCATTTGATGGAAGAAGCTGATAAAGCTGTCTTGCAGTTATTAGGAAGAGGCTACTCGAGAAAGGAGCTAACATGGATAAGAATTGAACAGAAAGAAACCAGGTTCTTGTGGCATACTGTGAGCCCCAGCTTTTAGAACAAGAATTATTCTTGGGTTTTAGCTAAAGCCACTTTGGGATGGTTCTTGCAGTTGAATGAGTAATTGATACATGAACAATTCTGATACTCTGTCTTGGACTATGTGGTCTAGAGAAGTTAGATATTCTTCAGTATCAATTTGGTTACTCACCACAAGCAGCTTCATGTTCCCCGACATACAAAGGGCCTGGCTCCTGAAAAACAAGAAAACAGGCAGCCTCATCAGTGGAAAGTAATGTAGACTCCAGGTCCTGTTGCAGAGTCAGTAAGGTTTGTGGCCTCCCATGATTTTAAATTAATAGGTGACAGGTTAAGAACAAGGCTCAACCATAAAAACATCAAACATGTTTTGTATGTTTTAGGGACTGTAATTCCATTTATTTTTTCATTCATTTCACAGAGCATTTATAATTTGCCAGGTAACAGACTAGGACCTGGGGCTGCAAGGGTATAGACATGGTTCCTGCCTTCATAGGATTCAGAGTAGAGCCTCGAAATCCCTGAGTGGTGCCAGTAGTATTAATTACAGAGATAGAAAATGACACAGCAGTTTCTTCTGACAAGATCACAACTTCCAAAACTAGTGGCATTTGAATTAAGGTGGGTTTACTGTTTAGCTGTGTTTCCAGAACACCAAGGAAGCCAGCATGGGCTCTGGGGCAGTGATATGGCAATATCTATTAATATTATCATATGGGTGTCTTGTGGCTGAAATACATAAAATAATTATAACAAAAGTGTCGCATTGCACACTGTTTTTAGCACTTTAAAAAAACATGGAAAAACCCAAATGTCCAAATATGGACAGACTGCAACAATGTCTGGGATATTAAAGGGGCATTATGATACATGTGTCTAATATAGCCCCACTTGTATGAAAAGTAAATACACCCAAGCCCTGTAACAAGGCAAGGCACAGAAAGTGCTGAATGAATGAGCACTACTTTTTAAATAAAAAAATACAGAAATGTCTAAACATAGAAAGTGAAGTGTTCTTATGTGATACTGGTTCCCTGATGCCCTTTTCACAGGGAGCCAAGTGTGTGTCATGGGAATCCCAAGGCGGCCTCTAGCCTCACCTCCATGTCTCTCCTTTCCAGTGTGGAGGAGCTGAGGTTTGCTCTCTTCTCTGCATCCTGCAGCTTAGTCAACTTTTCTATCAGGAACATTTTATCTTTGCCTTCCTGCCAAGAAATAAAATGAAGATAAAAACATGGAGGATGAATGGGGATGTGGGGTTGAAAGGCAAAAGTTGGAAAGGTTTGTGTTTAGGCAGGTGGGGTCCATTGGATGGCTATTGCTGCCATGTTTTCTCTTGATGAAAGAAAATGAACATTTCATAGCAAAAGAAACATTTTATATCCTCCAAAGTCTCATGAAGTAGAATATTCTCCTCTAAAGCAATTCTCCTAGTAAGCTTGAGTAGCAGCTTTTCTAGCCCTGTTTCTAGAAGCAACTTATGTGACACTGGCTGAAGGCCCAGGACAAATGATTTATTTTATCCCTCTTCTTGGCATTCCCTCTGTCCCAAAACCCTGTCTGGGAAACTGCATTGCCTGGACCTGCCCTGTCTTCTCACTGAGAATGTCAAACCTCATAGCTATGCATCTAAGGACATCAAATATATTTCACTTGTCAAAGTGATCTGTGTTAGTGGAATAGACCCAGTTAAATAATTCCCTAGTTGGGATGGGGAAGAAAGGAAGAGGATATGCCTTCTCCAGGAGGGCGAGTCACTTTCCTGTGGATCTGTTGCAGATAAGAGAGTGGTATGTTCCACCTGTGTTGAGGTGGGCTAGCACGAACCATTGATGGTCAGTCCAGTCTAGGTCCATCCAGTTCCCATGTCCTTGGTTTTCCTTAAACTTTCACTCACTAATGTTAGCATCCACCATCTTGCTTGCAACAATTACTACTGTGCTATTTGCTTCGTCATGATTTTCTGTTCTCTGTGTTCCTTCTACATTTATTAATGGGAATTATTCTCTAGGGAAGAGCTGAACTTGGGAATTTTTATTTTTAACAAGCTCCTCCAGCAGTCTTGGATGTAGCTGATGTTTTTGGAAATCTCTCATATGCAGCAGCTGTTTCCTTATTCTAGAGTGAATTAGAATTACCTGGAGAGCGTGCAAAAATGCAAACCCTTGGCCTTTCCCCAACAGATTTTGACTCAGGGAGTCAAAACTGCATGTAGTTAAGAGTACAAGTTTTGGAGTCACCTGGTTCAAATCCCACCATTTACTAGTCCTATTACTTTGGGCAAATCACTTAACTCTGTAAACTTTGGATACCTTAACTTTACAATAGTGGTTTCAAGAAATGTATGTACCCAGAAAGAGAAATGAAAATTTAATACAAATTTTTGTTTATCACTTAGCACAATGCTAGGCATCATCTAAGTCCTCAATAAATGTTATCTGTTTCCATTATTAGATGGAAATGGGAAGAAAATTCGCATTTTTAACAAGCATCCAGAAGTTTTGATGCAGGTGGTCATATTGGGGAAGGTTGTTGCCATTCCTATTCCCAGCTTCTTTGTCTGGATTCTTTTGGAGACAATGTCCTGGTCTTTGTGGTCGTCCTTGGGGCAGGACCCCCAGGCAGGCAGGCCTGTGGTGATGTTTCTGGGGCCTCTCTGAAATGATGCCATCCAAATGCCTGCCTGCCTCAATAACAGGAGATTTTAGAATTAAATCCCTCCCGTGTTGAGATCTTCATAAGACTTGACCAAACCAGTTGGAATGCTGCATCAGAAATATATAGGTGATGTTTCTGGGGACAGGCAGGGAAAAAAAGCATAACTAACCCATGCCCTTCCTTTACACTCCAGAAAGGACCAAGTCAAATGATCTGAAACCCCAACGTTTCAAGCAGAGAGAACCCTGGAGAGTCCTGCTTTCCCATGTTCTTAGACATAAGAGCTCATGTCATGATTATGCTGGTATTTAGAAAAGAACCTTCCCAGTAGCAGTTAGTATCCCTTTGCCCAGACTGTGGTCTCTAAGTACCATTTCACCAGGACTCCTTGAATAATTAAAATAATGGTTGATTCCTGTTCTGGGACTGGAAATGAACAAGATGAATCCAGAATCTTACTCTTACAGAGAGCAAGGAAGCTATCAATGACTTCTGGAGTCATGTCAAAAGAACCCAGGAGCTAATTCAAAGGGATTTCCTCTAGCAAAGGAAGAAGCTATTTAAGCATAAACAAATGACAGTAACTAAAAGATGTCAAAATATACTTAAAGCCATAAATTCATAATGATAATTTTAAAATCCTCATTGGCAACATTTGGAAGGTTACTGCCTACAGTAAATTTAATAAATAGTTTAATAAATATGTCCAAGTTATCTTAATCCCAATACCTGTGAACACAGCTTTGTTTGGAAAAGGGTCTTAGCAAATGTAATCAAATAAAGAATTTGGGGATGAGATCATCCTGGATGATGGTGAACCCTGAATCCAATGGCAAGTCCATCAGAGAAAAAGAGAAACAGACACACAGAGAGAAAGGCCTTGAGAAGATGGGGGCAGAGGTAGGAGTTCTGAAGCCCCAAACTGAGAAACACCAAGATTAGCCAGCTGCCATCAGACGTGAGGAAAAGGGCATGGAACAGGACCTCCCTCCGAGCTTCAAGGGGAACCAGTTGTGCCGACACCTTAATTTTGGATTTCTGGCTTCCAGAATTGTGAGACAACAAATTTCCATTGTTTTAAGCCACCAAGTCTGTGGTAATTTTTATGACACCCTAGGAAACCAATACAGTAGGCATTTTGAAAACTGGAAATAAAGGGAAAGAATCGTGCATTGTTGGGGACTGCTTTGTGTGGTATCAGAAACTGTAGTCCTGCACAATTGAGGCCTTGAAAGAGGCCTATAAGTCTTGACCAGAACACCGGGAATGTAGGAGGCAGGCATGATCCGATGCTAGCACTGAGGGTTCCCATGGGAAATCAGGCCTGAAGAATGCATTGTACCTTTTGCAGCTTGCTTTGCTTTGCATAGTTCTGTTAATATAAACCAGGTGTTTAAGCTCCAAACAGGAGTAAATCCTGAATTCAGGAGCCATGCCTTGACGACCATCTGCCATCTGGTGTCAGCATGTCTTTCAGACCCAGACCTGAGGCAAATCTCTGTGTTCCTTCAATTGTTATCTGTGAATCATATCTGTTTCCTGTAAATATAGCCTTTAGGTATTGATTGATAAGCTTTGCATGCATGCTATATACCCCTGCACACATGGATTCCAGTAAAAGCCACTTTAGGGAAGGGTTCAGTGCATTCTCCACTAGAGGGAATCGCCACCCCCCTTTCCTGCCAGACAGATTGTGTCTGGGACAACTCATTTCTTCATCCGTGACCAGAAGTACACCATGGAATGGGACTTCCCCTCAGTGCATTGATTTTGCCTTTCCTTTGTGAAGTGTATTTCAAGGTAATCAAATTGTTGGTGAGTAAAAATTCTTCTTTAATAGAAGAACCCCAGCTAATAAATGCAGAAGAAATTTAGAATTAGAATATCACTATTTTGTAATTCCCAATGAAATACATGGATCTTCTAGGCAATAGTCATCAAAGGCTGCTAAATCCATTAGAGAGTGAGGCTGATGGGGAGCTTTATGATGGATGGGTCAGGCTAACAGAGCATGGACCCTCTGATCACTCTTAACATCACACTACAAAGACAATCACATTTTATCCCTGGCCAGTGTTGCTCAGTTTGTTGGGTGTTGTCCCACAAAGAGAAAGGTCATAGGTTCGACTGGGAGTTCAGTTCCTTGTCTGGGCGGGAAGGAGAGGCAGTCAGTTGTTTCTCTCTTGCATCGATGTTTCTCTCCCTCTCATACTCCCTCCCTTCCCCTGGTGGTTTCAATCTGATTAAAATAAATAGTAAAATGTTTTTTAGAAAGACAGTCACATTTTATATCTCAAATGCTATTAAGAAGGGCATAACACCATCTATGAAGTATTCTGGCTAAAAAGTTGAATCTGGATCTACTTGGGTCTCTAAATCTCACCAACAGTTTACAAGAAATAAAAAGTAAAAATAAATATGCCAAATACCACCACAGTGTTGAAAATCTGATATATCCAGAATGTAGGAACTATTACAAGACAATGACTTGGCTTCTTCCACAATAAATGGCACAGGAAGAGAGGAGTGAACAGTTATAGATTTAAAGGCATATAAGAGACACATCAACTAAATGCAATATTTGGCACTTTTTCAGATCCTGATTTGAATAATCTTACTGTAAAAAAGATACTTAATGGGACCATTGTAGAAGTCTAACCATTGACTGGATATTAAATGATATTAAGGAATTTTTAAGTTTTCTTCTGGGTGTGATAATTGGTATTGTGGTTATTTTTTTTAAAAGGTCTATATATCTTAGGCATATACAAGTTTTGCCTAAACTGGTATAAAATGGTATAAAGTCTAGGATTTTCTTAAAAATGATCTGGTGATATGCAGTGAAGGGATAGTGGCTAGATGAAATAAGGGTACATAATTGTTGATGGTTGTAGGGGTGGGTGGTAGGCAGGTGGAGATTCACTGTACTAATTGTGTTTTGGAATATGTGTGAAAATTTCCATTATAAAATGTTAAAAAGGGCAAAGGATAACAGAAGTGTCCAATGGAACTTACATTAATGATCTGTTCATGGAGCAGTCTGATCATAATCTTCCTTCCCTCTGTGATCTGCCAGTAAAGGTAGGTGATGATTCTGGAAGAGAAGAAAAAAAGAATGGCAGACACTTTTGCCAGTGTTTGGCAGGCTCTGAATTATAACTGGGTGCAAAGGAACTGTAATATTTGCTTGAAAATGGGTTTTGGCCCAACGGTGTCCCTGAAAAGTTGTGTCTGACTGAGTTATAGGTTGAATACATTACAGCAACGCTTCTCACCATTCTGCACATGGAATCACCTGAGAGGTAGTAAAAAGACTCATGCCATGGCCCCTCCTCAGATCAAACCAGTTGAGCTCTTCTGGGCGTGGGGCCAGACATCAGTATTTTTTAAATGTACATGATTCTAATGTGCAGCCAGAATTTATGAATCTGGACAGTTCTATTCAAATATCAGTGTGATATGCATTTCCTTGGAATTTGTTAAAATGGAGATGCTGATTCTGTAGGTCTGGGATAGGGCCTGAGATTCTACATTTCTAACAAGCTTTCCAGGGAATTAGAAGTTTGAAGGAGCAAGACACTAGGAAGACTCTCCATTTTAAAGAGGCCAATGGCAACTTAGTGTTGGGGAAGGAGGGCCTGGCTGAGAGCCATGTGTCTTTCCATATGAGGAACCACAATCTCAAATACCATCAGGGCTGGGCTTCCAAAGAGGGGCTGCCATTAGTCAGCCACGCGAGTTGTTCATGTGGGAAAACGAGCCCAGTCCTGGCAAATCTACTCTTTTCACAAGAAGTTAGAAGTTGACCTTTTTCTATTTGAAAATGAAAATACACTATCCTATGTATCAATAATGATCAACTGATTTTAACATCACAATCTCAGGAAGAATCACACATATAATTATCCTAAACATTCTCATATCTATTTTTTCATTTTATTTTCTCTTAAGAAGGACAGAAAAGGTATTGCTTTCTTCATAAAACAGGCAAAAAAAAAAAAAAGCTAAGATAAGAAAATATGAAATTTTTTTTTTAAACTCAGGGGCAGAGTCAGGATCATCCAAAACACTGAGCGATGCTGCAGCCCTTTGCTTTTCTACCAACCATCTGTATGGCTGTCCACACAGTAAAGTGTTTCCCAAGGTGCCCCACTTACAATACAATAAGGGTGAGAATGAAAAAGAAGTGCACACTTCCGATGAGGTTCTGGTAGATCCAAACCACCCACAGGTAGCCAGGCCTTTTACTCAGGGTGTCGATCCAGCTGTAAATGGAGTGAATGAAGAAGGGCAGTCCTCGAAATGGGCCACAATCAGTTGATGGTTTCAATCTGATAAAACAAGGAACAGAAAAATACCTCTAATGTTTGACTCTGGTCTGGTTTGTTCTACAGTCAAGGTGTCCTTTCTGGGCTCTGAAACCAGCAATTCCTGCCTGCTTACCCCCACCCTCGCTCCAAAGGAAACTCTCCTTCTCCCAGCCTCAGCTGGTATATTTTATACTCATGACTCACACTTCTGAGGACCAGCTCTTGGACAGGCGTCAATCCAAAGATGAGGCAGTAGCCTCTGTTGTACCTTGGCTCAAAGAAATGGTCTGGGGCAACCAGATTCTCTTTCTCGGGAACTTGAACCAAGACATATGAAGAGGTGACCCTGCAATCTATGGGACCTGAAGTTGTGGCATGATGGCCATGTGCAGTTAGTTGTTATAATCAAACAGAAATTAGAGGACAATAAGGAACTGATTAGGAAGAGACACAAGAGAGTAGCAAGGGCAGCTGTGTAACAGAGTAGCCTGCCCTGAAGCCCCTTGAATTGCCAAGGGTTCCAGTTCCATATGTATCCTAAAAATTAACTTCTTTGTTTGTTTATTCCCTCATTCATTCATTCATTCTAGGTTTCCTTGAATTGCCAAGGGTTCCAGTTCCATATGTATCCTAAAAATTAACTTCTTTGTTTGTTTATTCCCTCATTCATTCATTCATTCTAGGTTTATCGCACTTGTACCAGGCACTGCACTAGATACTAAGCCCTGGAGAGTCCATAGTAAAAAAAGACAGACATGGTCCTTGCCCTGTGCAATTTATATTCCAGTGGGAAAGATGGGCAACCAATGAGTAAACAAAGATTCAAACAAAGGCATTTCTGACTGAACAAGGAAACGAAGAAAAAAACTCGTCTGAAAGTAGAGGTGAAAGTGACAGTAGACAAAGATAGCCATGAGCGTCAGATGTTGGAGACGACTTCTGAGCCAAGAGCCAGAGGGTGGAAAGAAGGCCCCCAAGCAAAGGGAGTGGGGAGAGCTCTTCAAATAGAGCACCCTGCTGCATGTGCAGAGCAGCTCTCAGAGTCCCAGTAATGGAGGGAGAGCTGTGTGGCCAGAGGAGGGCGGAGCCAATGGGCATCAGATTGGAGAAGTGAGAGAGAGCCTGGTCAGACAGGGCCTTTCAGGTTATTTAAATGCAGCTCTGTTCTCCAGGTGGAGGAACTGTCTTTTCTCATTCTGGGGAAGGCGAGGCAGCGGTGCCAGTCGTGATGGGGGGCACCTAACTCAGACACATTTCCTTCCTTGGTGGTAGTGTCTGTGGGTTAGCAAGGAAACTTGGGGTTAGAGCACCATATTAAGCACATCTTTTTACTGGTGTTTTGGCATCTGGGGCTTTTCTGACTGCCATCCCCTGGGCTAGCCTACAAAGCAAGTCTTTCATTTGCAAACCAACCAATTCAGAGCCTGCATCCCACCTCCCAGCTCGTCTATCAAGTATCACACCACGGGCCACTATTCTCCTGACCTGCTCACCCGAGGGCCAGGTTTCCTGCAACTCCAGACAGACCCAATGCCCCAGAGCTCGCTGACATTTTTCAAACTAGCCAGTCCTAAACCTGCTTACCTTGCCTGGCCCATTCTTTCCCATGGAAACCACAGTAAAGGCTCTTGCCCACCTTTTCCCATTGCTCCTTCTGCCTTCTGAACTATAATGGTGCCTTCCCATGTGCCTCCTCCACCCTTTGTAGTGTAGTGTCCCCCCTTTTTGGGGGAATCTGTGAGCATAACAAACTCCCTTTTCAGAGGCAGTCATCTCCTGATTTGCTGGCCTCATATACCTTACTAATTATAAAACCTACATTTTAAAGCACTCACCCACCCCAGCCCTAAGACCTCATCTCCTACCTTAACTCCTAAGACAGTTATCTCCTACCTCCAGATGGTGATCGCCAGGGTGCACAGGACCCCAGTGAAGGACGGGAAGAAGAGCAAGAAGATGAAGAAGGTCATCATCTGTGAGGCCCGCCAGGCTTTGCTTGGAGGCTGGAAATTCATCATCAGGCTGATCTGGAGGGAATGATGCACCAACCATCCGTGAGCAGGCAGAGGGACCCCAGCCAGACACGGGCTTCCTGATACCCTTCCCAGTTCCCCCATCCACACCCCACACCCACCATAGGGTCACATGTGACTGAGTCAGGCTGATTGGTCCCAACTTCAGAATGACTCACATTTTTGACGTAAAACATGATGAAAAGAGTAACCATTTGGATAAAGGGCAGCAGAGGGCAGAAGAAGGTTCCAATCCTATGAGGGAAAGAGGGTGAGTGTCGGAGATCAGAGGAGACAAAGGGAGTGGGGCAAATGTAGGGTGTGGGGGAAGGGAAAGAGGATGTTATGGACTGTACTGTGTCCCTCAAAAATTCATATATTCAAGTTCTAACCACAGTACTTCAGAATGTGACTGTTTTTGGAGATAGGGCCTTTAAAGAGGTAATTAAGGTAAAATGAGGTCACTAGGGTGCATCCTAATCCAATCTTCTAAAAGAAGAGATTAGGACACAGATACACAGAGGGAAGACAATGTGAATACACAGGGTGAAGATGGTCTTCTACAAGCCAAGGAGATGGGCCTCGGAAGAAACCAACCCTGCAGACACATTGAGCATGGGTTTCTAGCCTCCAGAACTGTGAGAAAATTACTTTGCATTGTTTACACCCCCTAGTCCATGTTTCTTTGTTATGACAACCTAATAAATTAATACAGAGGGAGACTGCTTCCACCCCTGCAAACCAGGAAAATTCACACCATATCCAGTATCTGCAGCTACTCTCTTCCCAAAGTCTCTGGAAAAGAGATTTTGCAGAGAATCCCACCCACACAGCCATGAAAACACCAGAGGTCTGTCAGCAAGCTGTAACCTAGGTGTCCCAAATGTGGAACTGTCTCCCGCTCCCTCCAAGGCATTCAAGGTCTGCAATCTTTCAGGGACAGACATTGAACGGCAACGAGTTACAAATGAGAAGGCATTCCCTCTTCAGCTCTCCTCAGTGCTCCTGAGCCCAAAGGAAGAGCTCTGTTTGGTGCTAGAATTTCTTCCACTCCTAACACTTGCCAATCTCCCATATTGTTGAAAAAAGGATCAGGCTTTAGGCTGAGACTTGGCAGACAGAAGCATTTAGCTAGAATTTGATGACTGCTTGTGATGAGACTGATATTACATTTCAAACTATTGGCAATGTCTGTCAGATCACACTGGTTTTCTATTCATAATTGTAAAATAGAGACTCCTTTAAAATGTATTTAAGCTAAAAAAAGGCAAATATTTTTAAAAATAATATTAAGTAAAAAACAGTGCAGGTGATATGTACATATACCAATAGTAGGTAGGCTGATGTACAAAAGACTGAAGTTGGAAAACTGCACCTCACCTCAAACTCTCCTCACCTTATCTCTACCATCATCCCTAACATCACTCAATTTGTTATTATATTATCTTCTTTTGAAGCTCATCATCAAAGGCAATATTCTAAAACCCACAGAGGTTAAATCTAATAATTGCCACTGAGAAAGGAAATGATATGTGTATTTTCAATTATGCTTATTTATAACTTATTAACAAAAGCCTTAAAGGCCCAGAAGTAATGATGGCCATCTCTGATTGTAAATTTTCCCCCACTTATAAAACATTTCTGAGTCAGATACTCACTAAGCACTTAGTTCCTATTCCTCATTATATCTTCACCTAAACCTGTGTAGTAAGTACTATTATCTCTTCCATTAACAGATTATAAAACTGTTATGAGAGTTTAAGTCATTTGCCCCAAAGGCTTCTTGGTTAGTTGACATAATGTGGGTGAAAAGCTTTTATAAACTGCCTAGTTGCCAGGGGTGACCTGGCTGTGTTCAAATAAATGTATCACCTAAACTACACGAAGAAAAAGCCCTCACTACATTTAAAAATAAATTCATTGACATTAGTGAGTTATTTGCAGATAGCTAAAAAACTCAGGGCAACTTTAAAGAGTTAGAAAACAAAGTACTCTAGTTGTATGGCATATTGAAGATTGCAAAGTGGTTTTCATATATCATCTGATTCAATCCTCAAAACAATTCAAAGGCAGGTATTATTATGTGCATTTTACCGATGAAGATACTGAGGTTCTGAGAAGCTCAGTGACCTCACTGAGGAGCAGAGCCAGCCCCAGAAGCCAAGTTTCTCTGTTATAGCCACCTAATAAACTAATACAGGAGAAGATTGCTTCTAACTCCAAATCCCCTACTTTCAAATTAGCAACACCCCAACAGACAGAATCTGGGAATGTAATATACCATACAGAATTCTGGCCTTCATTACATCATGTTAAAACAAATAAAAATGATGGCTGGTTATAGATTTGAGTTTCTAGGTGAGCTTGTCAAAAATTTGATGCCACTAGCCAGCTAGCCTCCATACACACGTGCACACTCACAGGCACACGGGCACATACACATGCACATCCACAGCTGCCGCAAGAGGTGGCAAGCCCCAAGGGCCACAATGACCCCATCAGGTGTTACGTCAGTGAGGGAAGCAGGCCAGGTATAAGAAATAGACAGCCCTCCTGCCTTTCTTCTGTCGACACATCAATGCAGAGTAAAATCTTCTACCATAAGGGCAACAAGAAATGGCAACTCTACGTTTGGAAGATAACAGTTTGAGGTGGGGACTATGACAAACTGGAGGTGTTAGCCCAGCTGAAGACCCAGCCAATTGTTACCAGAATGGGACATAGTCTAGATCTCTCCTTTTTTGGAGAGAAGCCAGAAATTTAAAATTTTATGTACAATCTCCTGATTTTTAAATATTGGCAGCTAATTTAAATTTTTAGAAAAAGCACTGTGAAACAAGCAAAATGCACTTGCAGGCTAGGTGCATCCTGGGGGCCTCCAGGTTGGGATTCCTGCTCTACTTGGATTCTTGCTTGAAATCCTTGTAAAGGAAAAGGGACAAAAATTCATGATTCTCAGACTGGCTGGATTTGGTATAGCCCTTGCAGCTTTAAAAACAATAGATTCTGGGACTTGCCAACCAAACTCGGAATCCACAGTCAAGCAGGAACCAGAAGATTCTCAAACTTACCACACCAGAGTTTGTGCATAGATCAGTTCTAGGACATTCCTGGCAATGTCAAACTCCTGTAAGCCAAGACTTGTGATAAATTGCATCCCAATGATTCTGTGAAAACATACTGAGTTTAGGACCTGAACCATCAACTCCTTATTTGAAAAGACTCCCCACAATCAACAAAGGAGACCCTCACCAGTTTGGAATAAAGTCATAAATCCTATTGCAAATTTTTGAGAAGTTCCAAGTATAAGCATGTTTTTGAAGAAATAATCGAGGGAATTGAAAGAAAATGGGGTTGACCCAGTGCATTCAAATCGGGCTGGAAGACACAGCTAAAATTGTTTTTAAAATTCTAGAGAACATTTCTTACCTTTTATTTGTTTTCCCACCTATTATCTTGTTTACACAACTTTGGCTTCTCAAGCCTTTTTTCATGACCAAATAAACTCCGTCCCTCCAAACCAAATAAACTGAAAAAGTTTTCAATTTTGGGGGTTACTGCTGTTGAGTTAATGGTGTTTTCCTGTTTCCAAATCCACAGGGAAGAAAATGAGTTCCCACTTATTCTGAGAAAATGTGAAACCACTTATTTCTGCACATAGAAGAGTCTCCAAAAAAAGTGCTGTCGACACCCCCGCTCCCCAAATTTCTCACCTTTATGTCCACACCCCAGACAGAAGCTAGGATAAGTGAGTCTGGGCAGACAGAGTGAGAAATTTTGTTGTTCAACATATCCACTGAGGAAAGGATCAGCATTGTGTCATGCTGTCTATCACTGTGGCGGCTTGCAGAGATATGTAAATGTCTATAAGGAATGAGATGCTCATCATAGCACTAAGGAATGAATGAATGAGTGAAAGAGGACTACAGGCGGGCTAATGATGACACTGGCTCAATTCTGCACACCTGGGTTCTACACTAAAAATTGGTACATTAACTAAATTCAATTAAATGAATCATGAGATAAATCTGTATGTACTGGCATGGAAAGGTGCCAAGGCATTGTTACTAGGTTAACAAGAGCAAACTCCACAATGATTTCACAGTGGGATCCCATTGTTGTCTTTGATAATTATATAGTATACACACACACACACAAAGCAGTGTGTAGATAGACAAATCTGGAAGAATATACACTAGAATATTAAAATTATCTATGTCGAATGAGATCTCAAATGGCCCTCAGTTTTTGTTTTATTCTAGAACTTTTTTTTTTTAAGGGAAGGTTAGAAAGGGCCAAATGAATGAAAAGAACTTTGACAACAGGACTGTCAGGTCAAGGTGAAACTTCAGTTGATTCAGAAGAAAACAATATCCCAAAGGACAGTGGGCAGATTTAGAACAATGCATTCTTAAAGAACATTAGGGACCCATACTTCCTGCTCAGTCAAGACAGTGGCTCCAGTTACAACCCAAGCTACTAATTACTCAAGGCGGACAAATACTTACCTCCTCAGGAACTCCCCCAGGAAGGAATCGGCTAAAGAGAACACAAAATCCATCAGAAGGAGCCGATAGATTTCCTGGCCAATGAGGGTTTCCCAACACTGGAAGGCAAGCAAGAGTCAGGATATGGGTAGGGACTGTTGCCTCCCTTTTCATCTGTTCCTGGCATCCTGTACTCAGGCATGGCTGGTGGTTCTGTCTGACAGAGCTCTTGGGTATCCAGAAAAGCACTCTTGGCAGACATGCATCATTAGGCCTAGTTTGGTTTCAGTGTGTTTATTCTTTCTCTGTGACACTTTTTCTCCAGGAAGCGTTGTCCTCCATTGCACCCAAACTTCCTCTTCTCATTCTATCTCCTTCAAATGCTTTTCCTCTCTCTCCTATGCCCTCTGTATCCCATTTCTCAGCCAGAGCTAATCAGTTTCTTCAGGAGAACAGGAGTCATCAGTAGCTAATAATGCCTCTACTCCTTTTGCTTATTAACCTTATGAAAAATCAGTTAATATCTGCTCACCTAAGAAAGTAGCCTAGAGGTGTAGCAAGCTATCACAAACTGGAAGGTTTTGAATTGGTCCGTTCATGGAACTGGCAGTCGGTTACTTCTGCAGGAAGCACCATGAGCTGAGGGACTGAGTGAGAGCTTTTAAATTTGGCTGAATGAAGGAGGAGAGGGAAGCTTTGGATTCACAGCTCAAGAATGGGTGGGTGGATGGATGGATGGATCGGGAAATGGATGGACAGACAGAATGACGTGATATTTGCTCTAATATCTTGAACAGAAACTCTTCAGAAACTTGAGAAACTTGCTTCCTCCCTGGTTGCCAAAGTCTAAGAAACCAAAATTAAGACAAAACAGCATGAAAATCTTACCTTTTCACCAGCCAGGGCCACAATGTTGAGCCAATAGTAACATAGAATTCCAATGATTGATATTTTCAAAATGATGTTTCTGAAAAACAGAAGAGGAAACAACTATCATTACTGTTAATGGCAGTCATTAGTGCTGCTTGCCAATATTTCCTTTTGAGCACAAGGTAGGATGGAAATTCCTGCCCCCTGAGGTTAAGTGGGGCCAGATAGCCAGTTCTGGCAAATGGGTTGTGAGCAAAAGTGATGTGTGTCACTTTGTGTCCTTGCTAGGCTGGAGCATGTAAATGCCAGTGAGACACTTCCCTCACCCCAGAACTTACTGCCTTCCCTCTGGAATGGCCATCAGCAATATTCTCGAAGATTGCCGCTCTCTCAGCCTGGATCCCTACATGACTAACAACATGAGCAAACCACCCCGCTGCCAGTCCACAATGGCCCTGCAGCATGAGCAAAAAATAAACTTTTGTATTTAAAGTCACTGAGATTTGGTTGAGGGGAGAAGTTTGTTACTACAGCAGCATGACCTAATTAATTCTGACTGGTACACCCTCTTTTGCTGTATCTTAAAATGATCTGATTTCACTTTTTTTAAATTGTTGTCCAATTATAGTTGTCCCTATTTTCCCCCAATTACTCTCCCTTGCCCTACCTACCTCGCCTCCCACATTCACTCCTCCCTGTCCGTTGTCTTTGTCTATGGGTCCTTTACACTGATTTCACTTCTTACTATAATAGTAACCTATTCTTTGGGTGCTACCATAGGCAGTATGTTGTGTTAAACACTTTATTAAATCACACCTCTTAATCTTTACAACTCTATACTCAAGGAGGTAGTATTTTATGCCTACCTTACCAATGAGGAAACTGAAGCTCAGAGAGATAAAAATAAGTTGTCAAAAGGTTACACAGTTTGTTAAGGGCAAGACAAAGATTCAAACTAAGCACATGTGATTTCACAGCCTCAGTTCTTACACCAGGTATTTAAATGAATACCTTCTGGTTTTAATGGGGCTTCAGGATTGGTGTGTCAAGAATCATGTCACTAGACCAGTAGTTCTCAAAATGTGGTCCCCAGACCAGCAGCATCAGCATCATCTGTAAACTTGTTAGAAGGATAAATGTTTGGGCCACACCTCAGACCTATGGAATTGGAAACTCTGGGAGTGGGGCCTAGCAGTCCCTGCAGGCAATCTTGGTGCTTACTGAAGGCTGAGAACTGCTATGCAAGGCTCCTTTGTGTAGGAAGGGAATTAGATGTCTTTTTTAATGCCAGATCCTTAACCTCTTGCCCACTGCCTAGCCCTATTATGGCCCTCGATATTTACTAGATTAATGCCTTAATATGCTGTGATATTGTGAGTTATTAGAAATATATATTTGATCCCTGGCCCCATTTCTAGCACACATCTCCTAAAACCCTTAGAATTTTTTAAGTGAGGAGAGCAATAAAGATGTCTTTCGTTGTGTGAAGGAGGGACTTTTGGAAGCACTGAGAAGGTTGGAACTTTCAGTCCTACCTCCTGACCCCTGGGGAGGGGAGAGGGGTTGGAAGTCGAATGAATGTCCAGTGACTTAATCAACCATGCCTATGTAATGAGGCTCCATAAAAAGTGAAAGGGAGAGGGCCTGCAGCTTGTGGACTGGGGAACGCACGGAGCTGCTGGGGGAACGATGCGCCTGGGGAGGGCATGGAAGCTCCACGCCCCTTCCCCACACCGTGCCCAAGGCATCTCTCCACCTGGCCGTTCCTGAGTCATCCCTTTGTAATTAATTGGTGAGCTAGTAAGTAAAATGTTTCTCTGAGTTCTGTGAAACGCTTGAGCAAATTAATCTGACCTGAGGAGAAAGGAGTGGGAACCTCCAGTCTATAGCTGGTAAGTCAGAAACACAGGTAACAACCCAGACTTGTAACTGGCATCTGAAGGTGCCAGGGGGTGAGACAGTCTTGTAGGACTGTGTCCTTAATCTGTTTAATCGCCAGGTAAATAGTGTCAGAACTGAATTGAATTGAATTTTCAGATACCCAGCTGGCATCAGAGAACTGCATGGTGGTGTGGGGAAAACCCCATACACACTAGAGTTGGTGTGAGGACTTTATACACTCATACACTGCAGTATAATTCCAGGTTAAACGTGAAAACACACTCTTCTCAGCAAAGATAAATCTTACCATAGCAGAAAGACAGTCTATTTCTGAGCTTTCCCATTTTCTCTTCATGTAAAAGAGATTTTGAATATTTTATGAAACAGTACAAATGGCTAATGCATATTAAGAGACAACCAACCTCTCTAGTGATCAGAAAAATGCAAATTAAATAACAAAGCCATTTCAGTCAAACTGGCATATGAGTATATATGTCTACCACCTCTCTGTTCAAATTGTATTGAAATGATAGAAAAGTTAGAAGATAAAAGATTCATAAAGCAATGAAGAACAAGAAAAGTCATCATGAACATACCAGAAATATAGAGGAATTTGCAGAATATAGAAAGCAAATTTAAAGGATGGAAAGACAAGAAGATGAAAGGGGGTTAATGGAGAAAACTGCAGCTTAAAACAAATGCGGCAGAGGAGTGCCTCAGAGGTGGCAGTAGTCCTGGCGTGGCTGGAGCTCAGAGGCAGCCGACACAGACGTGGGAGGAGCAGCTGGGTGGGTATGTGACCACACTCAGTGTCAGAAAATTTCAGAGCAGCACTTATTGGCTCTTGGAAGAGGTTAATTAAAACACAGAGTGTTTGGCCCACCCAAACCCACATGCGAGTAAAGACGCAAAAAAACGATATGTTAGAACATGGAAATACTCATAAAGTTGATCACCTCCAGACCTACTGTAAAATAATTTTTCCTTTTACAATATAAAAAGGAGATGCTGTAAGTAGGATAAATTAAATAAATACCAGTGAGTGAAGAAAACAGTGAAACTATTATTAAAGTATATGCTAAAGAAATTCCAAATTACTTAATGCCAGTGAATTGTACACCTAAAAATGGTTTAAATGGCACGTTTTATGATATATACCACAATTTTTAAAAAGTCCCAATTGTTTCTAACCACAAAGAGGAAGCATCCAGTGGAGTGAGGTGAGAAGAAGTGAGGGATGGCTGAGATTCTTCTTTAGGGGAGTAATACGTACATAGACTAACTCTAAACACTGACCTAAATGAGGGGTCAACAAACTTTTTTTCTGTGTACATCCACATAATACACATTCTCGGCTTTGTGCCTGAACAGTCTGTGTTGCAACTGCTCAATTCTGCAGTTGTAGCAGGAAAGCAGCCACAGACAATACGTCAACAGCTGGACATGGTTGTCTTCCGATAAAACTTTATTTATAAAAATAGGAGGCTGGCCTGCAGGCTCTAGTTTGTCAACTACTGATCTAACACACACACACACACACACACACACACACACACACACACACACACACGTGTGTGTGTGTGTATATATTTACATCTTTGTTATAAATTTGAAGGTAACAAAAATGTTAAGTTCTGTATGAAGAAACTATAAACATTGATGTAAGTACAGATTTGCTATCTGCAGAAGGAGCATTCCAGAAAGAAGGAATAATCAGTACAAAGGTCCAGAGGTGGGCATAGTTTGGCATGGTTGGGAATAGTTAGGTTGCCAGTAATGTTGGGGGCACATGCACTGAGGTCGGGGGAGAAGCAGAGGAAAGGAGGTGGGAGAGCTGGCCGGGGGCCAGACCTCAGAAGCCATGGGCTCTGGAACTGATCAGTAAGGGAACTCAACTAGCACTGTACAACCTTATCGTTGTAAATACCATCATCACAAAGAACTGGTAGATAATTAGCCAAGAAGGAGCAATAAGAACACAATTTGGGTAGTTTTATGCTTTGTTTACCAAAACCCTGGGATCACCTCTAAAAAAAGGCACATACAGTGCTTTTGTGGGAATCAAAATAAGGCACGACCTACCCCAGCCAAAGAATTGCCAAAAGCACTCTCTCCACCTTCATTTGGGTGGTTGAATTATAAAAGTGTGCCTCTTCTTCCCGACTCATGCAGTGGGTACCAGGGCTCACAATTTGACTTGTGTACACACTGGATGATTTCAGTCCCCATACGGCACCTCAGCCAGGAACCTTTGTGCAGTGTACACCCTGCCCAATCCCTATATCTTATAACGAAGAATAATGTTAATCCTTAGGCTGGTAGCAAATGGGAAAGAAAAGCCACTGTTTTGTGCAAAAGGCAGATGTAACTAAAAACCTGTATTTTCTCTGAGCTCTTTGGATTGTATGTCTATTAACTCATACCATACAAACACACTATACTCCTGAAATTCTTTTGGGAAAACAGAACTTCATTACTTGAGTATAACCCTTTCTAGCTCCCACTCCACTTCCCTTCATGAAAAGGGAGGCTGGTGTTGGCAGTAACAGACACACCTACCGGATCAGGAGGACGTAAACTTCCTGCCGTGGCACCTCGTAGCGCTCCACCAGCTTGAACACGGAGTAGAAGCGAGGCACTGCCAGGTTGATGCAGGACACCGTGAAAGGCAGTAACAGCACTGCCCCGGGGTCCCTGTGGCTCTGCAGGAACTGCAGGGGAGGGAGAGAATCCAGGTGCCAACTGTGCACTGGACCCTTCTCTGCCTCACTCAGAAGACCTCCCCACCATGAAAATCCCCAGAAGTAGTTCCTCTGGGGTTAGCTATTAAGTTAGTGGTTATTGAGCACTTCCCTGTGTCAAGCATTCATTACCCACGTGATTGCATTAATCCTCACTGCAGCCCAGCAGGTTAAGCCTGACTTAACTGATGGGCAAAACAAGACTCAGAGAGGTGAAGGTGCTTGCACAGTGTCACCCAGATAGGAAGTGATAGATTTGAACCAGGGTCTATCTGATTTAGGAGCCTACTCCAACAAGCCTTTCTGTGACTTTCTTGAAATGAGAATATGTTTCCTGGCTGCTGGAGCAAAAGCTTGAACCTACTGAGGCTACAGCACAAGGGTTTCCATCCCTGTGGAATACCTCCCCCCCCCCAGCCCCCCCCCCTCCTGCGTGGCCTGGTTCATTTCCACCAGGCTTTACCCATCCTTGAATGCTGCAGTAGGGGAAGGGGAGCATCTGCTAGCTCTGTGTGAAGTCGGGAGGGGGGCCCCCTTACCTCAGATGGACACAACACCCTGGCATTGGGCTCAGAGTGAAGCCTGGGCTGCCCCTCTGCCAGGCATCCTTGGAATGAAGGATTCCAGTGGATTTGCCTGATGTCTCACAATTCTCCCTCCTCAGCCCCAGGTTTGACCCTGCCTCCATCTACCTCTGGATGGTTTTGAAAACACCACTCCAGTTTTAGGCAGCAGACTGGGAACCAGCAGAACAAGTTCTGTCCCCCTCCCCATATTTAAAAACTGCAAGGGCCAGGGCCGGATAAATAACTTCTCTGAGCCTTTGCTCTGCCATCTGCACAATGGGGAAGTTGTCACAGAACCCATAGTGACATTGCAAGAACTAAATGAGAACAGTAAGGCAAGGTCTGGCCCCTAAATGACCATTCGCATGAAATTGTAGTTTTCAATAAATGTGACCCCTGCAGCTGTGAAACGGGCTGACCCTGCCTGGCATGGAACGGATGTTCGAACAACAGGAGTGATGCCCCTGCTGCCCGCTCGCCCCCTCTGCTGTCCTCCTTCAGGTCCGGTGGGCACGGAGGAAACCTCCCGGTGGAGGAGAAACTCAGATGTCTTTATTCCTGCAGCCGCCCCGTCACAGTTTCCAACCCAGCGGGGCAATGCCAGGCCCCTGAGGACTGCGGCTCAACGCCCCTGTTTCAGGGCGCGCCTTAATACAGTTACTGGCAAACCGCGGGGCTGTGTAATCCCACACCCCTATTCTGGCTGGCTTCTTCTTCACTTATTCATTCATTGGGTTGAGCACCTACTATGCACCGCGTATTAGGCCAAGTTTCTGGCTACAGTCTCCTGAAGAAACAGATGCCTAAGCGGGTATTTTCGATGCTGTGTGTGACAAGTGGACAAGGGAAGCCTGTAGGTTAAGAAGCACCTGACTCAGCTTAGTGAGGGGTGTGGTGGTCAGAGAAGGTTTCCTGGAGGCAGTGACACCCATGCTGAGGTCTAGAGGAGGGAAAGGAGGAGTTTACAAGATGAAGGGAAGTGAGGGGGGGATGTAGAATACAATACATATTTCCCATCTAGAGATAAGGGAAAGCATGGTGTGTTCAGAGAACAATGAACACACCATTTAGTGTTGCTGGTGTGGGATATGGGAGGCTGTGGGATGTTGAGGCTAGAGATGTAGGCAGGGGTCAGATCATAAAAGATCTATCAATTATGCCACAGAGGATAGATTTTATATTGAAGGTAATGGGAAGCCAATTAAAAAAAAGTGAACAAGCTGTATCACAACTCTAGTGGTTGATAAGCTGTCTACATTTAGCCCCAGAGGAAGACTGAAATCTACAGAAAAATAGTACTTTAACAAGGCCACACAGCTAATTAATCTCAGAGTTCATATTATTTAAAAACAAAACAAAACTAACGTTCCTTCATCACACGCAGTACCAGGCACTGGGTAGCTTCTCTGCATACATTTTCTCTAGTCCCAACCACACACCTACACAGATAGGCATGATCATTCCTATTTTGTAGGTAAGGAACCTGGGGCTCACAAAAATTAAATCACTTGCCACATTCCATCAGATCACAATACTTAGTGAGCATTCTACACTGTGCCAGGGGCTGTGGGAAGCATCAGGAATATAATAATAAAGGAAAAAAACAGAACTTGACCCCTGGTCTGCAGCCAAAGTTCCCACCTCTCCACTAGCCCAGAGCTTCTCACTCTAAGACATGCACACATATCACCTGGGGATACTGTTAAGATGTGAATCTTAGTCCATGAGCTACAGGAGAGTTCTGAGATCCTGCATTTTTTAAGCAAGTTTCCACCTGATACCAATGGACCTAATTTGAGTAGCAGGGTCTACTTTACTCTCCCCTCTGCTCTGGTCTCTGGTGCCTCTGGGACACTGGTTACCTCTAAGTTGTTCTCAGCCAGGTAATAAACAGCTACACAACAGGCAGTGGCTACTCCAGTAGAGACAACCCAGGCTGCTAGGTAGACAGACCAGCGGCTCAGCTGCTGATTGAGCGTTAACTTGATATTCTCCTGACGGATTTCTGACAGGTTCTCCTATAAACACAAAGAAGTTACATTAGCACCCCCATCACTGCACCAAATGCCTTTAAAAAAAAAATCTTAGAGGAACAGATAGGACCAGTAGATCGGGACAGTGCTCTCAAGGAAAGTCCATTGAGGTCATGAAACCTGAAGAATAAGTTAACATCTGCAATCCTCTTGACAAAGCCCCTTTGTTTAGACATTCTGCTTGTGCTTTACTTTTAATAAGTTTTTTTTTTAATAGACCAGGGTTTCCCAACCTTGGCACTACTGATATTTGAGGCCAGATAGTTCTGTGCTGTGGCAGCTGTCCTGTGCATTGCAGGATGATTAGCTGCATCTATCCAACAGATGCCAAAGGCACTCCCTCTCAATTGGGTAAAAACCAAAAAAGTCTCCAGTCATTGCTGTATATTCCCTGAAGGACAAAATTGCCCTGGGCTGAAAACCACTGGATAAAATTTTAAACCTGGAACTATGAGGTCAAGAAGTATTTATATTTAACATTTTATAAATTGCTAAACTGTCTTCCAGTAAGCATGTACCAAACACAAAACCACCGTGTTGTGTGAAAATGTCCATTTCCCTAAACCATCACAAGCACCAGCCAGTATGAATATATTTTCTGGATTTTTGGGGTGTATCCTTTTTTTTTTTTCCAATCTCATAGGCAGTAAAAAAAATAACTCATTATTACTTTAAGAAAGGTTATAGACATACTGAAGGAGAGAAGGAGACTGGTTAGGGAAGGTGTTGTAAAAAGCAAGCTTGCCTTACCCTTATCTCAGTGCTAAGATTCTTCTGTTTCAGCTTCACAGCTCTTTCATGAGTGATTGTGAAGTCCCAGCAAAAAATAAGTTTAGTGATCCCTCTGGAGTAAATGTGGGGGTTAATGAAGTTGTCCCGGAAATATGTGGCCATGCTAGGGAAATCAGAAACCAAAATATCCGAGGGTTATTAGGATAAGTGCTGGGGAGTGCATGGATTAAAAGAAAAGGAAGTCCTATCTTTAACAGAGAAAGGTAACATGGAAAAGATAGCTCCAAGTTCTTCTGAAACAGTGTGGTCACAAACATAATGGTTAAATGTTCTTGCTTCGGGATCTGATAGGCCTGACTTATAATCTTAAATTGTGAGCTGGGGAATTGTAGTCATTTTAACTGCTCTAAGCCTAAGTTTCCACATCTATGTGATGGGGATAATAATAGTACTCACCTCACAGAGTTATTATGAGAGGTGTGTTAGTTTCCTATTGCTGCTGTTAACAAATTGTCCTCAACTTAGTGGTTTAAAACAACACAAATTTATTCTCTTACTGGAAGTCGGAAACTAGAAAATGGATCTAAAATCAAGGCATCAGCAGGACTGTATTTCTTCTGGAGGCTGTAGTGGAGAATCTGGTGCCTTGCCTTTTCCAGCTCCTAGAGGCTGCCAGCATTCCTTGGCTTGTGGGATCTTCCCTCATCTTCAAAGCCAGCAGAGTAACATCTTACACTCTCTGATTTTGACTCTCCTGCCTCCCACCTACAAGGACCTTGGGATTACATTGGTCCCACCTGAATAATCCAGGGTAATCTTCCCATTTTAAGATCCTTAATTTAATCATATATGCAAAGTCCCTTTTATCAGGAAAGGTAACACATTCACAGGCTCGGGGGATTAGGACATCTTTGGGAGGTGAGAGGTATTATTCAGCTGACCACAGGAGTCTATGTAGTGCCCAGAGCAATAAGCACTCAGTAAAAGCAGCTGTTCCTATCACTGAGCTGTCAGGAGGACTCAATGATATCAGGCTCAGGATAAACAAATGCTGAGTAAAATGGACACTCCATTTCCAAAATGTGCTACCACTGAGTTACAGCAGTGTAGGATGTATTTCTTAATTTGATAGCGCAAAACAAACAAACAAACAAACAAACAAAAAATCTCATTTTACCTTGAATTTTTATACTGGCAATTTACTTTAAATTTTCATGCTGGCAATGAGGTTGTTCTGGACTAAATTGTGTTCCCCCCAAATTTCCTATGTTGAGGTTCTAACATGCAGTACCTCAGATACCAACTATATGTAGAGATGGGATCTTTACAGATGTAAATAATTTAAAACGTGGTCATTAAGGGTGGGTCTTAATCCAACATGACTGATATCCATATATGAAGAGAAAATTAGGGCTCAGATATGGACAGAAGGAAAGGCCATGTGAGGACACAGAGAGAAGACAGCCATCTGCATGGCAAGGACAGAGGCCTTGGAAGAAACCAGTCCTGCCAGCACCTTGATCCCGGACTTCTAGCCTCCAGAATTCGAGAAAATAAATTCCTGTTGCTTAAGCCACCCAGACCCAGCAAACTAATACAGAGGTTGAACATCTGTACTTCCTCTTTGACAATTATCATTTGGCAATTATTTGTCCATGTCCTTTTGTCCATATAACTACTTGAGTCATTGGATCCTTGTGTTCAGACTGACCAATTTCTTTTAAAGTACACAAAACCTCTCTCCTCTGTCTAAACTCACATTTATGTTGCAGGACAAGCAATACTCAGACAGATTACAGAGAAACTGTTTGCCAGGTAACTTTTGAGTCCCTTGAATTTTGCCTAAATCTAAAAAGAGATTAGAATCAGGAAATGATGACACTTTATACCTGAATAGCAAACTGAAAAAGCAGATGATCAAACAGGCTGCGATTGTGAAGATGTAGGCCAACTGCATGTTGTAGGGTGCCCCACTGCTCCCATGCTGGATCGTAGAATTGGTGTAAAAGCCATAGTACATCACTGTGTCACGAAAATAACCCTGAAAGGGACAATACGCCATAGGTCAGGTGGGTCTCTTGAGAAAACAATGAATGTCTATGGTCAGCAAGTTGACCTCTTTGGTCTTCTAGAAGCTTGAACCAATCAGTTTAGATATTTTGTTTGCAAGGAAAGCAGCATCCAAGGCCACTGAGAACCTAGACGTTTTATCACTAGGCCTTCAGAGTTAAAAAGGAATCCTGAACCAGTGTAGGTTTATAACAGAGGGACCCAGCTATTACCACCAGGACCCAGTGACCAAGCAAAGCATGACTAAAAGCAGGATGCACATTGAAGAAATTCAGAGTGAAATATCCTGATGTCTGTGATCTACTGTAAAATGCCTCCCAAAACAATAAGACAGAAGCCCTGGGCAGGTAGCTCAGGTGGTTAGAGAGTCATCTTGACACACCAAGGTTGCGCGTTCAATCCCTGGTCAGGGCACATACAAAAATCAAGCAATGAATGCCTAAATAAGTGGAACAACAAATCAATGTTTCTCTCTCTCTCCCTTCCTTTCTTTCTCTAAAATCATGAAAAAAAAGATAAAACAAATATGGCAAGGTGTTAACAATTTTAAACCTACATAGTATGTATTTGGATGCTTATTATGCTACTCTTTATTTTTTGTATGTTTGAAATTTTTCATAATAAAGTGCTTCATATATATATATATATACAAATTATACATAGTAATGAGAAAAAATACACAATAATTCCACTTAAATTCACCTATCCCAAGGAAAAATTTTTAACAGAAAAAGGAAAAAAAAGACAAATGGAAGGACCTTACTCTGAACATTCCACTGTAAAGTCAGGCCAATATGATAGTCACAGCAATAGCAGAAAACTCTGCCGACACAGTAGAAAAGCAGCACAGACATGCAAACAAATCCGGGTGGCCATGTTCCAAAGAAACTTTATTTATGGACACTGAAATATCAATTTCATATAATTTTCATGCTTCTCTAAATGTCATCCTTCTTTTGATTTTTTTCAAGCATGTAAAAATATAGAAACCAATCTTAGTTCACAAGCTGTGCTAAAACAGATGGCCAGCCAGATTTGGCTCTTGGGCTGTAGTATGTCGATCCCTGGTTTACAGAATCTCAATGGCAGAACTCTTTCCTAGAAGGTGAACACACAATGTAGGGGCTGTGTGTCTCAATAAAGAGCTGGGTAAATAAATTATGGTTGCTGTTAAACAGAATAATGTGGATCTGTAAAGATATCCAAGATACATAGTAAAGCAAAAAAGTTGCAAAGCAAGATTTTCACTATCCTATTGTTTTTATTATTTTATTTTGTTTTGTTTTTATCTTCACTTGAGGACATCTTTATTGATTTTAGAGAGAGAGGAAGGGAGGGAGAGAAATATCGATATGGGAAACATTGATCGGTTTGTCTCTTGCACATGCCCAGACCAGGGATCAAACCCACAACTTAGGTATGTGCCCTGACTGGGATCAAACTTATGACCTTTCAGCTTATGAGATGATGCCCAACCAACTGAGCCACACTGGACAGTGCTCTCTTTTTTGTTTGTTTAAAAGAACATCTGTCTGTCTATCTATCTATCTATCTATCTATCTATCTATCTATCTATCTATCTATCTATCTACCTACCTAGCTAGCTATGTGTGTATGTCTCAGTGCTTATATAGGAAGTAAAACAGTGGACAAAGATAGCCTCTGAACTGAGGAGTCAGATTAAGGAAGAAGGGTAAAATGGACTTCTCTTAGTTTGTTCTCCTCTGTAGTAGGATATTTTCAAATGGAGCATTATATTTTGTAGAAAGAAAAATGAAGAAGAAAAGGTAGTTCTATGAACACCAACATGAGACATCCACATATATTAGGTAAAGAAAGCAAATCACAGGCAGTATTATGAATAATTCATCTTTTGTTAACAAAGAGAAAAGGAGGTATATGTACATGCATATGGTGTACTCAGAGAAGAGGATTCTGAACAATGCAAACGGTTACCTCTGGAAACAGAAATTCTGCTATGTTGTATTTATGCTACTTTTGGGGGAAAAAAGAAAAACATTTAAACACAAACTTCCCCCATCAGTTGACTCCCAGGAAAAAGTGAGAGGTCTGGAAAGGTGACCGACCAGCAACGTGTGTCTTTGGGTTTCCAAGGTGGTGAACTCCAGGTCGGGGAAAAGGAGGACTTACCGCTCCTGTGAAAAATTCCAGTCCTGTGAATTGGAGAGTGTTCCTTCCAGACACAGTAAACTGAGGGATTGTGAGGAAGCTGAAGGTCACAATGAATGAGAAAATGTTGAACTTCAAAAGCCACCTCAGAAAGTTGAAGTAGGACAGGACACTGGTTCCAAATTTGCCTCCAATGACTTTGAGTGTCTTCTGCCACAGGCTGATGGAATTGAGCAGCTCCGACAGGCAGTTCTTGGATCTCCGGTATGCCTGGCATTAGGACAAAGCTTGACATTTCCTCAACAAATATCTAATGAGCATTTCCACAACATCAGAAATGGCCACCATTTCTACAGCATTACAATGTGCCAGGCACCTCACAAGGCATTTACAAAAGTCATTTCACTCACTCCGCAGGACCACCCCCTAAAGTGACTGCATTATTACTCACTTTATATTTCCCGTGTTTGCTGTTGAAGGTGACATTCAAAATGGCTAAACTGCCCAAATAACTCAGACCTTCACATACCTACCTGATTTCCCCACACCTACACTGACCCAATTTTCATTGCTTCCAGTGAAACAGCCCTGAAATTGGTCCCTTTTCCCCGTGGGTCTCCTTTCATCGCTGCTCTCCCACCTCCCTGTTTTCACCCTCTTGTGTTTCACTGCAGTTGAAAGCTGACTTACCAATGAAAAGGAGTTCAGGCACTGAGTGCAACAGTTGAACTCAAGGATATGATGGGACTGCTTACTTTTCTCTTTGTCAACCAATTTCCTATGGGAAATGGCACAAGAAAGTGAGAGATACAAGTGCTGTCGTACATTCATTCCCAAAATATTTACTGAGCCCCCACTATGTGCCAGCCACAGTCCCAGCTGGAGATAGAGACCAATTTCAAAAATGTAAAATAAAATTAATTACTACTACATTAAATACCAAAACAACTGAACACACACACAAAAAAACAGGTCCAGATTTCCATGCCTCATGGAACTAACATTTTAGTTGGAAGAGAAAGACAGTAAAAAATAAATATAATAATAAAATGAGTAAACTATATGGCGTATTAGGTGATTTATACTATGTGTAAGAAAAAGGAAAACAGGGCAGGGTAAGGAGATGGGGAATGCTGGGGTGGGGACCGTGTTACAATCTGAAAATGCACAACGTTTGAGTGAAGTCTTGAAAGAGCAGAAGGGTTTGTTGTATGGGTAAGGGATTGTTCCATGCATAGGGACACTCAAAACCACACGGAGACTGAGATGGCTGGAATATTCTATTCCAGAATCCCATCCCACATTGCAATCAGCTATCATGTCTCTTTAGAATCCTCAAGTCTGTAACAATTTCCTCAGACCTTCCTCATTTACTGTGACCTCACAGTTTTTCGGAGTACTTGTTGTGTATTTTGTAGAATGACCCTCAGTTAGGATTTGCCTGACCTGACTTTTTCCTCTGGTTAGACTAGGGTTACAGATTTTAGGAGAGAGTGTCACAGAAGGGATAGGACCTTCTAATCACATGACTTATCTCTGAGGATATCAGCCTTGATCACTTAGCCCAGGTTATAGTGTTAACTGAACTTCACCTCTGGAAAGTTACCTTCCCCCATTTCCAAACTCTACTCTTTAGACGGCAGTCACTAAGCACACATAGCCCACACTCCAGATGATAGGAAATTACGTGGAATTTTTCGGTAGGAAGATGGTCTCTTCTCTTGCATTTACTTATTTCTCATCTTTCCAAAATGGGGCAAAAGTAGAAGATTGAGATCGGTGTAAAATCTGGGAAGAAAGAAAAGCTTTTGGTCCATACCTAAGGTTCCTTTTCTCTTCCATAGTCCTTGGCTGATTCCTGATGGCTTTAATTCTCTCTCGAGATGTCATGGGTATCAGAGATGCGATTAACTTTTGCCCTGTGGAAGAAAATAAATGGAGTTTGTTAGAATACGTTTTTATAACAGCACAAGGAAAGAAGAATGTGTAGACTCAGTGATTCCAAAGGTCACAAATAGCAAGATGACAGCATGCATCTATGTTAAATTTCAAAGCCAAAGAAAATGACAGTTTGCATGCAATTCCAATTCAATGCTTTCCTTTTCTTTGACAACAGTCTGTACATTAATATCCCTCACTTTGATATCCTGTATCACTTTCTCTTTCTCCCTGGACTCCAGGCCCTAGCATCTTTTTAAAGTGCTTGACTGCTGTCAGATGCTCTTCCACCTGGAATGACTTCCCTACTTCTGTTCCCAATAACTCATAATCACATTTTGGGTCAGTGTGGCAGATACTGTTGGTAGCCTGCTACCATGTCACCACTCCTTTTTAATAGAATCCCAACTTTGTTTAAAAATCTTGACTTTTGGCTAAGATGGAGGCATAGGTAGATACACTTTGTTTCCTTACACAACCAAAAGAAGGACAGCAACAAATTTAAAAACAAAAAATAACCAGAACTGCCAGAAAATCAAACTGTATGGAAGTCTGACAACCAAGAAGCTAAAGAGGAAGCATTCATCCAGACCAGTAGGAGGGGCTGAGATGGGCAGCCGGGGTGCAGACGATGGGCTGCAAGGTGGCAGCTGGAGGACTGGGCTGTCCCACATTTACATGTGGATAAACCAAGAAGAACATCTGGGGAGCAAGACAGACCGTGCAATCTAGGGTTCCAGTGCAGGAAAAGAAAGTCTCAAAACCTCTGGAGGTAAAAAAAAACTGTGGGGGTTGCAGCAGTGGGAGAAACTCCCAGCCTCACAGGAGAGTTCATTAGAGAGACCCACAGGGTCCTAGTAGGTACACAAACCCACCCACCTGGGAATCAGCGCCAGAAGGCCCCAATCTGCTTGTGGGTAGCAGGAGAAGTCACCGAAAGCCTCTGAGAGCTGAGCAAGCAGCATCATTCTCTCTCTGACCCCTCCCCCACATACAGCATCACAACTCAGTGACCTGGGTTGCCCTGCCCTGGCGAATACCTGAGGCTCCGCCCCTTCCCATGCAACAGGCACACTGAGACAAAGAAATATGGCCCGAATGAAGGACAGATCAAAGCTCCAGAAACAGAGCTAAGTGATGAAAATATAGCCAACCTGTCAGATGCACAGTTCAAAACAGTGGTAATCAGGATGCTCACTGAATTGGTTGAGTATAGTCGCAAAATGGGGAAAAAAGTGAAAGTATGCAAAGTGAAATAAAGAAAAATATACAGGGAACCAACAGTGAAGGGAAGGAAACTGAGACTCAAATCAACGATTGGGAGCAGAAGGGAGTGATAAACATTCAACCAGAAAAAAAATTGAAGAAACAAGAATTCAAAAAAATGAGGAGAGGCTTAGGAATCTCTGGGACAACTTTAACTGTTCCAACATTCGAATCATAGGGGTGCCAGAAGGAGAAGAAGATGAGCAAGAAATTGAAAACTTATTTGAAAAAATAATAAAGGAGATCTTCCCCAATTTGGTCAAGGAAATAGACTTCTAGGAGATCCAGGAATCTTAGAGAGTCCCAAAGAAGTTGGACCCAAGGAAGCACACACCAAGGCACATCATAATTACATCCCCAAGATTAAAGAGCAGGAGAGAATCTTATAAGCAGCAAGAAAAAAGGAGACAGTTACCTACAAAGGAGTTCCCATAAGATTGTCAGCTTATTTCTCACAAGAAAACTTGCAAGCAAGAAGGGGCTGGAAAGAAGTATTTAAAATCATGAAAGACAAGGACCTATACCCAAGATTACTCTATCCAGCACAGCTATCATTTAGAATGGAAGGGCAGATAAAATGCTTCCCAGATAAGAGAAGTTTAAGGAGTTCATCATCACCAAGCCCTTATTATATGAAATGTTAAAGGGACTTATCTAAGAAAAGAAGATAAAAAACTATGAACAGTAAAATGACAATAAACTCAAAACTATCAACAACTGAACCTAAAACAAAAACAAAAACAAACTAAGCAAACAACTAGAACAGGAATAGAATCATAGAAATGGAGATCAGAGGGGAGGGGGAGGGGGAAGAATGGGGGAAAAGGTACAGGGAATAAGCAGCATAAATAGTAGGTACAAAATAGGCAGGGGGAGGTTAAGAATAGTACAGGAATTGGAGAAGCCAAATAACTTCTATGTACAACCCATGGACACGAACTAAAAGGCGGGGGGGAGGGGGGAAGAGAATGCTGGGGGAAGGGGGGCTGCCACAGGGTGGAAGGGAATAAAGGGGAGAAAAAAATTGGACAATTATAATAGCATAATCGATAAAATATATATTAAAAAAGAAAATGAATTAAAACTACTGTTACTCAAAAGAAAAAAAGCACTGCTTCCAGCTAGCTCCCCCTCTCTCAGATTGCTTACTCTGGGGGAAGTTAGCTGCCACGTCACAAAGACACTCAAGTGGCCATGTGGAGAGAGAGACCCATGGGGTGAAGAGTTGAGGTCTTTCACCAACTGCCAGCAAGGAAATGAGACCTTCTGCTAACAACTATACCAGGAAGCCCCTGGAAAGTGCATCTTTCAGATCCAGTGAAGCCTAAAAATGACACTGTCCTGGTCAGTGGCCTGACTGTAACCTTATGAGAGACCTTGAGCCAGAAACACCGAGGAAAACCACTCCCAGGTTTTCGACCCTCAGAAATTGTGTGAGATAATAAATATTTGTTACTTTAAGCTTCTAAGGTGTAGGGTGATTTGTTACACAGTAGATGACTAATACAGAAAGTGAGGAATTGATCATGGGGGAGTTTTCTAGTCTGAGCCTGCAAGAAGCATAAACTACTTCCTACTTCATTCTTTTGGCTAGAGCTGACTCAATGGTCACACTTAACGACCTCTCCGAGACAGGGGCTGGGGAAGCAGTCTCGCTCTGTGTCCAGCAGGAAAGGAAGCACTTGGGTGAACAGTTGGCCAGTCTCTGCCACATTCAGTGAACTGATATTTGGAAAGGTTTGGATCACAAGGCTCTGGTGGCTGTTTAACCAAATTCAGACAAAATTCTTAGAGAAAATAAAATAAAGCCTCTTCTGGTGAGATGACAAATGTCTCTGCGGTTACTCAGGAAAATATTAAGAGGCTTTGGTTTGTCTGATTTCCTAGTGTTAAGATAATGATACTACTACTAATAATGATAATAGTAAAAATAATAAAAAAAATCTATGTCCTCCCTCTGTGTCCTTGAACTTCTGCAGGGTGGGACCTATCTCCAGGCATAGGGGACAAGTCCTGATGAGTCCAAGCCAATCCTGAAGATCCTGTCCCCTTGCAGGTGACCGATTTAGGTACAGGCATGTGACAAGATGTTGGCCAATGTTCTGTGAGGGGTGGCCTGCAGAAGAGCTTCTTTGCAAAGGTTTCTTCCTTCTCAAAAAAGCATAACTCAAAACACAAGGAAAAGACAGATTCTTCTTCTCCTGGATGTTGTTGTGTCCACGTGTGATGCCTGGAGGTGCTGCCACCATCTTGTAACAGTGAGGGAGCGCAGGCTGGCTCCCTGGTCAAGCTATTGTGTCAGAACCTCTAGTGACATTCTGTAACTGAAATGGAGTGAGTGTCCCCAGGAGAAGGCCACCACATCACTTGACCGAGGACCAGGAATTTGTCTCTCTTTCTCAGAGAGAAAGAAAGGAGAAGGAGGGAAGAGAGAAAAAAAAAAAAAGATTAGAGGAGACAGAAGCATGAGGAGATGTCCCAGTCTTCATTTAAGGTGCTAAATCCACAAAATGCTTTGGTTTAAATTGATTTTTTTTCCCTCTTAGAAACCATTGAGAGAGACTGGACTTTATGCCTGGAGTATTATAGAGTGAGACAGAAACAGCATCTAAAAGACTAAACAGTGTTTGACATCCTGAGCAGAGAGGCAGGGAGCTCTCAGGTAAGACTTGGTTTCATGGTGGACTTGGCAATAACATGTATCCTGTGTCGCCAAATCCAGGTGGGGGAGGAACTGGACCAAAGAAGGATAGGATGGTGGCTAAGGTGTCACCCTTGAGAATCAGACAAACCTGCGTTTGTGTCCCAGATCTGCCAGATCACTTACTATCCCTGAGCCTCAGTTTTTTCATCAAGCAGATGGAAATGACATGCGTGCCTGCCTTAAAGGTGTAGACTAGAGTATGGGGAGAAAATAAAACTAAATTCAATGAATAACAAAAAGAAAGTGCTCAGCAGAGAGCCAGGCACACAAAAATCAGATTGATCAAGATCAACTTGTTTTTAGGTGTTAGATGTTCTCGAAGTGACCCCTTTCTCCGTCCCTAGCTATTCAGGTCATCTATCAAACCTTCAACCTACTTGACATCTTAAAACTAAAAAACACTGGGAATCACTTGGAAGCTGTCTTTGCTCTTTTGCCCCACTGTCTTACCACCTTGAATGTTTTCATGTGAGGTACAAGGAGTGTCTACATCCACACGCTCTGGGCTATAAAGGGTCTGAGAGAACGATTCATTCAAAGATGTTGAAAACCGTAACAACTGCTTGGCCTTTTTGTTATTCTGGTGGCTGAAAATCCGAGCGTCTGTCACATCGATGTCGGATATGGATGAGGCCACGCTGAAGCTTGACTTCACCAGCATCTTTGCTGGAACATTCAGGTTTGAGGATAGATGGCTTTGGACCCCAGGTGGAACATTCTCAAAGTCAACGATGGTTTCATTCACTTGGTCATCAGACAGCATCTCCTGCGTCCCCCAAGCCTAATTCTGCACAGGGGTGGCCTTCCGCAGGCCTCCCACTGCTGTCACAGGGCATTGGTGGGAGCCACCAAAGAAAATGGTAACATCATAGATGGATGCTCTATTCGCATTTTTTTAAAATGCCAGAATGAGATCGCCAAAGCCAGCCCCACACAAATTACAACATAACTCCCCACATCTGCAATATAGGCGTCTCCTAGAAGCTGTGTTCTCCCAAAGAGAGTTCTGTCTCAGTAGCTAGGGAAGAAACCGGAAACAGAATCCTTCATTAAAGACAATGGGATTCTAGAAACATAAGTCAGAGAGTCTTCTAAACAACTCATAATCACAGGGTAGTATTTTCTTTTTAATTTGATGTCCTTGGCTTAAACTTTATTTTTTTATATTCATAATTGTATATGCCTTTATAAATCTAGATGGGTTTATAGTGAAACAATTATTATCTCCTGGTTGCCTTGGGTGGCCAACCCTGATACTTGTCTGCCTCCCAATACACAATCTCCATTTTTCTCCTACCAGAAGAAGCCTCCTTTCCTGTGTAGGCACTGTGTTCAGTTAAAATTCTACCAGCCTCCATTGTGGCTAAAGGTGGACCCTTGACCCCATTTGGCCAATGAGACATGTGGCCTCCAGCAATACTCTTTAGAAGGTGACAGTCTGCCTGCTTTCACCTTTTTCCCTTCACCATTTCTCCTTTTTCCTGACCAGAGGCTGCCGTTTTGAACACAGAAGTACAAAACACTCACCTGCCAAGGGTGGTGGAGAAAAAAGTGGCAGAAGGAGTCTTTGAGAGCATATGGGCAGAACTGCTGTACACACTTGGACTCCCTCCCTCCACACTTCCTATTACATGAGAAAAATAAATCCCTTTGTTGCTAGCCAACGTCCTATTTCAGTGCCAGGAGCCTGAACACAATTCCTATCTTACTGACCTGATTTGGAAATCAGCCCAGCCAAGCTGTTTATTTAATATTTGGAGAAAATGAGGTGCATAGAAATGACTGACCCTCCTTATCATGCTCATTACATGGCAGGGTTGGACTGGAACTCTACTCCTCCCCACCAACGATAATCAACAGTAGCAATACCTGCCGTTATGTCAAGACAAGTGCTTTAAATAGAGTATATCATTTAATTGTATCATTTAATTTAATTGTCATCATTACCCTGTGATGTAGGTACTATAATAAACCCCACTTTATAACTAAGAAAACTGAGGTCACACAAACAGTACGTAGCAGAAGAAACCCAGGTGTGTCTGGCCCCAAAGCAAGGCCTCTTAATCACTTCACCCTGGCTCCTTCCTGCTACAAGATGTTGATGTATCACTCATCCATTCATAAAAGAATGAATATATTTATGTGCACCTACTATGGACCAGGTGCTTCCTCAGGTGCATAGCATAATCCATCAAAGTGACCCTTTATCATTAGGCTGCCCTCCAGTTAACTGCACATGGTTTGACAATCAGAACCAACTCAGAGCAAAATGGGACAGAAAGGCAGGTTCATCTTTGGATCCTCAATTTCTTTACCTGTCTCTGCGTTCTGGGGGCTCCTCCTTTACCAGAGGCCCCAAACCTCATGCTGGCTAGATAGAAAAGACTGATGAAGTTTAAAGACATTTCTTTTCCCCAGTAGTTAAAGCCATCCTCTGTTCTGGTGGGAAACAAATGGAGATTTGTTTATGTCCCCATGGTTTTCCCTCTCAAGTAGCAATAGCCAGCCCTTGTGGAAGACACACACCTCCTTGGGAAGGCTCTTAAGTATGAGGTGAAACTTTATCATATAGGCTAGGGCACCTGAAGGTGAGCGATACTGTAGTTTTAAGTCATGGGGCTCCTCATTTTGCATTATTATATAGAGAACACCATGGGTTTATTTCTTGTTCACAGACTTGCCTCTAGGTTCCAGCATTCCATGGCCTCTCTCTTCTGTTGCTTCATTTTTTATTTCTTAGTTTCTGCCCCTGATCAAACTTTCACTTTGACACACAGTGATCATTATAGAGCTTCCTGACTGATTTCAAAGTCTTCTGTCTTTCACCAGTCCACTTGCTTCTATACTCCATCATCATGAATAATTATATGATAATTCAGAAAAAAATCGATCAAAGCCCTGTCACCTCACCAACAGATGTATTAGCCACAGGATGGACATGTGACATAATCTCCTTTCTTATGGTAAAAATGATTATTCTGTGTGTAGACATGTGGCCCCAAAGAGTGCTGGACAGAGTCTTTCCCCAGCATTGACTAATAGACCCAGGAAGAAAGAAAGACATCCTGATGAGGTTGCTGAGCTGAGGGTGTGCATCTAGGCATGCTATTAGTCATGCTCCCTGGCCTGTGGAGGATTCCTGACTATGAGATGAAGCTTAAAGACAGGATGAGTCAAGCACAGATGAGACACAGATGGAGAAAGAGAGTCCAGGTGGCACTAAATCCCTGGCTTTGGACTCAGAGACCCTGGTTCCTATAACTCACTCAACAAATTAATTCAACAAATACCTCTGAACACCAGCTATGTGCTAGGCACTGTACAGGTTCTAGAAGGTAATTCTACCTTCAATTCTTTGTTTCACTCAAGTCCTTCCCCCTATACAAGCCACTAAATTCACTTTGGGCCAGTGTGACTTGGGTTTCTGTCACTTGCAACCAGAAGAGTCCTAATGAAAGCCACCTTGATATCCAGAAGAGAAAAAATTCTGCATGTCTAAGAGAAAATGTATGATATTTATGATAAATTTAGCAAGTACAGCTTAGCTGCCACAGCAAAGGCTAAGAGGAAATGGCAATGTCTACATTGCTTGAATGTTCCTTCTCTAGCACTGAATTTTTGGTCATTTAAGCCTTACCTTGGGACGATTTGTACCAATCACCTCCAGACAGTGGGTTTCTGTAAGCTGGGCCAGGGCTACTTTCATCCACATAAGCAGGGTTCACTGGAATGAAGAGGCAGGACATACCATCATTAATCCACCACCTTAGATGTTACTGAGCACATAATGGTCAGTAGGACTGAGGCCTTGACCTCAAGGTTCTAGTAGATTAATAATTAACAACTTGGGTGAAAAATAAGACACACATACAAAAATAATGCTGTTAAGTACAAAAGGCTTGCTCAATCCATAGTTAAAAATAATTGTTATTGACCCTGGCTAGTGGCTCAGTGGGTTGAGTGCCAGCCTGCAAACCAAAGTGTCACTGGTTTGATTCCCAGTCAGGGTGCATGCCAGGGTTGCAGACCAGGTCCCAGAAGGGGGTGTGCAAGAGGCAGCCACACATTGATGTTTCTCTCCCTCTCTTTCTTCTTTTTTCCCTTCTCTCTAAAAATAAATAAATAAAATCTTTAAAAGAATTGCTATACTGAGATCTAGGACATGCCTACAATGTATAACTAAAAAACAAGTTTCACAAAACAATACTTTGGTTGACTACATAAACAGCACTCTGACATATTCTTCTTATTCTTTTCCATTTATTCTATTCCATTCTATAAAAATTTATTTCACTACTTGTTAATGGGTTACAACTCAGAGTTTGAAAAATACTTGTCTGGGAGGTAAGGATGAATAGGAGGAGCACCAAGAGGTTTTAGGGCAGTGAAAATATTTTTGTTATGATACCCATAATGATGGATACATGTAATTATACATTTTTCCAAACCCACAGAATGTACAACACCAAGAGTGAATGCTGATGTGAACTATAGACTTTGGATGATAATGATGTGTCAGTGTAGGTCCACTGGTTGTAACAAATGTACTCCTCTGCGGGAGATCTTGATAATGCAGGAGGCTCTATATGTGGGGGTTGGAGATGTATGGAGATTTCTGTTACCTTCCCCTCATTTTTACTGTGAAGCTAAAAAAAAAAATAGTCTTAATTTTTTTTTTAAATTAAGCAAAAAAAAGTCTACATGATTTTAGATGTTCCTTCTTAACATTTTATGATTATGCATACATGAATTGCAAATAAGACATGATTTTCTTAGGGACAGAGTCCAGACTTGTTATCTAAATGGCAGTGTCACATTTCAGTGTCTTTCAGTTCAATGCATGATAAATATTAAAGACTCAACTCCCGATTGGAAGAAATGAGCTCATTTTGATGGTAACACACACAAAATTACACTGCAGGGGGTTTGGAAACTCCTTGCCAAAAACTAGTCCCCACGTTTGTTACTCATTAGCTGTGTGCCACACCCTTGCACATGTTACTTAAGCTCTCTGAGCTTCAATATCTTAGTGTCTTGAAGAGAGACAATATCTTTAGTTTATTATTGGCCCCGTAACGTGTCTTTTTAGACATTCCTTCCTCACTGCCCTCCCTCATGAAATGCCAATACCACAGATAGGCTGTATATTGAACTGGATATCTGTTCATATACAGTATGTGGATCTGTGTTTCATACATAAAAAAGAGTAAAGTTTTTGGTTTCCTTTTAAAAATAAATTTTCATCCCATGGGATTGATTTTGCCTCATCAATAATGCATGGCATAAGGTTTGGAATAGCCCAAATGAAAGTTTTCTATGCGAATGTGTAAGCGTCGGTGTTTTTCATTAGTGCAGGCAATACATCCCATCCCCTCCTCTCTGCCTGCTTCAAACTCTTCCCCATCTACCCTTCCAGGGCTGAGCACTGCACCAACCAACACTTGGGTCCCTTATTCTGTTCTTGGCTGAACACCCCCTCCCATTTCTGGTCGCTGTGGATTCTAAATTCCTGTAACATTGACTCATGTGTAATAAACTGGCTTCCTCTACCAATAACAAGACCCTGTTTCCCTCTGACAAGAACTGGTAGAATTTCCTTTGCCTCCCAGAGCTAAACCTTTATACACAGCAGATTCTGAAGATGACATGATTTTTCTCATATTACTGTCTGCTTCCTAATTTTCTTTAGTCTTAATATGCTGGTGTCACCTACCCACTTAAGGAACTTGAGGACAGAGCTGCCTTTTACTCCCTTTGCCTCACAGTAGGTTTCGAAAACATAGGAGCTGACTGTCCAAACACCTTCAGTATGTGCTAAGCTAAAGCTGGCCATGGGTAGCACACAAGCTCAATTTAGCCCATAGGTGATTTTGTTTTCCCAGCTCAGCGTTTTTACTTTTTTTTATTATTACTTTGGAACATGTAAAAATCGAGGGGGTTCACATAAAAAAAAAACAACAACAAAAATTCCTCACTGTTTCAGAAAAATCTGAGGATCTGGCCACACGGCATGCCCATTTCCATATAACCACAATGCATCAAACCTGAATTTTGGCCACCTCACATACACACAATTCCTACCTGGCCTGCTCTGATCATTGATGATACTGCTCCTTCTCTAGATGTCAAGTTCTCAGCCCTTGTAAGGTGAGTATTTGAGTGGGAAGGGATAAACAAATTCTTCTATTACTGCAAATCTTTAATGATTGCTGCCCTAGGTCCACTGAATTTTAGTTTCTTCCCAGGATATGATCCTCATCTTAACAAATACTTACCGTAGCCATTGTCAGAGTGGCCATATGGATTCACCATCCCTACAGATTGCATTTCAATGCTTTCAGGGTAATCTTCATTCTCTCTTGCAAGCAAGCCCAAAGGGCTGTCACCCCGATGATGAAATGAGGGCTGGATTGAAGATGTTCTGCCGAGCACCCTGAAATCCCAAAATGATGGATCAATATTCATCCAGTACTGTGGTAAGGAGAGTCATCCATCCATCCATCCATCCATCCATCCATCCATCCATCCATCCATCATCCATCCATCCATCCTACAAATGCCAACAGAATGCTAACCATGTGTTAGCCATAGGCTGGGAGATGAGGACACAAAGATAAGACACGAGGTGTCTACCCTCCAGGAATTCCCAATACAATCTGGCAGAGCTTCTTAGAAACAGCTATAAGCCATTCTTATACAAGTAGCAACAGGTCAATATCAGAAAACAGGCCCAAGTAGTTCAGGGGAAAGAGAATAATTCTGGCTGGGAGTTTGGGGGAAATTTACATCCAAGCTGGGACTGGAAGAATAATTCACATATAGAGCCTAGGAGGATGGCATTCCCAGAATGAAGAACAGCATAAATAAAAGCGTGAGACCAGAAAGTGATGAATATATAAAGGGAATGGTTAAATATCAATTAACCTGGAACAGTGGTTCTCAATTTTATGTATATACCAGTTCTCAGGCCCCAGACAGACAATTAAGTCAGAAGCTCTGAAAGTTGAGCCCAGTTATCTGCATTGTTTTTAAAATTCCCCAGCTGATGGGGCAATTCTAAGGATCGCTCAAGGTCAAGAACCACTGACCTTGACTATAAGCTTAAGGTAGAGAGGGGTTAAGAGAAGAGAAAGGAGGTCAAGTCAGGCTGGTCTTTGGTTGGCATCTTACAATTAATGCAGTGCATCCTCATTCTTAAATGTTCTCACAGGTGTGGCCTTTCCCCAAAGGTTATGGGGACTCATAGAATATGAGAAGCAAAGGAGTGATGGGGTCAAATGTATATTTTGGAATGATAAATCAGGCAGAGGGGACAAGACCAAGGAAGGCATTTTGGCCTGGTCCTGTTAACCATACTATTTAAGACCTGAAGACATTTTGACCCTGCTATACACCAAATCCCATATCCTTGTTCCTTAAGATAAATACAAGCCATTAATTTTCATTGATTTCATAAATATTACTAGTAGAAACAGTATACACAAAATGAGATTCATATTGCTTAAAATTTCACATGGTAAAATTTAAATTAAAAAAAACAAACAAACCTATACTAAAGATTCATGTTTTGCTGGAAGAATGAACACTGAAAAATTTAAACTACAAAAAATTAGACTTGGTAGAACTAAGTCACCCAAACTAGCACTTTAATGTCCAGAACTGTACCAGAAAAATTTGCCAATGACCAAAACTTGATGGAAGATTAAAGTTTTTTTAATGGCTCAGCCATAAAAATAACCAACTAAAGAATTAGGTTGAGTTCATGGAATTAGGTCTTCAAAAGATTTTTTTATTGCAATGCATTCCTGTTGATATACTTCTGGTTAAAATGTTTGGATTCATAACTATCAAGTCTTAACGCTATCAAGTCTTTGACCTGCAAAGTAGCAGGTCAAAACAGTGGGGATCTAGTCAATGTTTTGCAGAGAATGGGTACCAAGTAGGGACTGGGGAAGATGTTACACAAGCAACGAGTGATGGAAGGCTATGTTCAGGTAAAGGCTTAAAGCCTCAGGTTGAGAGTTCATGGCGCAGGTGAGATCTATAGGCAAGTGTGAAAGTTTCACCATAACTTCAGTTCACAAAAGCCATCGTACATGTCCCTAACCCAAACAATGCCAACCAAGTTTCAGTGACTCACCCCCCGCACCTACTGGAGGGAGACGCCTGCACTTACTCCGTGGTCATTTCTGGAGTCTTGGAAGAGCCATAATCATGATCATCCTCAGCATTTGGGTAATCAGGCTCCACCCAGAAATTTGAATTCTGATAGTTCTCAGCACCATGATAGTCTGGTTTCCCTAAAAAGTTTGGAGAGTTAGGTTGATTCTCAGCATCTGGATAATCAGGGTCTCCCAGAGTATCTATGTATGGTTTGATTTCAAAACCAGCATATTCTTGGTTCCTTCTAGAGTCTGGATAGTAATTGGAATTGGCTCTAGGGCCAGGATGGTTAGCATTTCCCTTAGCTCCAGGGTAGTCTGGTTCTCCCCAGGAGCCAAGATAATCAGGATTTGTTCTGGAGCCTGCATAGTTTCCACTGCTTCTGGAACTTGCAAAGTCAGGATTTCGTTGAGACTCAGAGTAGTCTGGCTCTTTGAATGAGTCTGGATGGTATGGATTGCTCCAAGATCCAATGTAATCTGGCTTTGCCAGAGATGTAGGATAGTCTGAACTTCTTCTGGAGCCTGCAGAGTATGGAGTGCTCCTGATGCTATGGTAGTCTGCATTACTCTGAGATCCAGGATAATCTGGCTCTGCTAGAGATCTGGGATAGTTTGGATTTCTTCTGGAGCCTGCAGAGTGCGGACTGTTTCTGGTGCCAGGATAGTTTGGATTACTCAAAGATCCAGGATAATCTGGTTCTGCTAGAGACCTGGGATAGTCTGGATTTGTTCTGGAGTCTTCAGAGTATGGGTTGCTCCTGGTTTTGGAGTAATCTGAGCTGTTCAGAGGACCTAGAGCATCCGGATAATCCTGAGTTTTCAAATACCCCTGTGTGTGGTTCCGTGATCCTGAATAGTCAGGGTAATCTGGCTGTTCTTCATACCCATTGTTCCTGTAGTAGGCAGACATGCTAGTACAGATCTTTTACCCTGGAATGTTCAAATGTTCCTGCATTTGAGTTACTCAGGGATCTTTTTTTTTCTTAATCTGAAAAACAAAAAGGAAGGTAAAGGTCAGGTGTTTTTTTCCTTATAGAGATTGCTGGCTTTCTTCAAGTGTTTGTCCTCCTTCCTTTCATAGTTGGGTACATAGCTGCCCAGAATAAAGTCTATGTTTCCCAGCCTCCTGTGCACCTAGGTGTGGCCCTTAGTGTGGTCAATGGGATGTGAGTGGAAGCCATATATACAACTTCCAGGTGGTGCGGCCAAAGGGAAAGGGTATTCCTCCCATTCCCTGTCCTTGCTTCCCATGTGCCGGAATGCGGAAATGATGGTGTGTGATGGCGGGCGTGCACAGAAAGGCAGCACGCGTCACAGGGATAGCGGCACAGCAGAAAGCAGCAGCCTGGGTTGCTGGTGATGTCACAGATCAGTGCTGACATATCAGCTTGGGCTTTTAGGTAAAGAAAAGAAAACGTTTATCTTATGTAAACCACTGTTTTTTTTGAGGGAGGGGTCTCTGATATTTGTGGCCAAATTTATATTCTGACCAATATAATTCCTTGGTTGGGAGAGAAAGGTACAATGAACCAAAAGATTGGAAGGAACGAGGACTTTTTAAGCACTCTGATTACACCAGTGGTTCTAGGGTTTAAACCATAAATTAGTATGGGCACCTGAAGGAAGAATGGTTAATGGTAACTAGAGGACTTGGTTAAGGAGACAACTGGTACCATCTCTTCCACTTAGAAAATATGATTTTATGAGCTCCACAAACTATAATTTATAGACACGGCATACAGCATACTTTCAAATCGTAAGTGTCGAAGTTTTAATTTCTAAGTGTGCTGGAAGACAGTTGCTTTTACATGCCTATGGCCCATTTCCCCTTCTTTTGGCATCAATACCCTGATGTTCCTCTGGTTATTTGCCCCTCCCCTACTCTTGGTCACATGAACCAGACCTGGCCAATCAGTGTCCACCATGCCCTGGGCCCAGGGTCTGGTTCAGGAATGGGCACCTAACCCAAGTCAGTCTTCTAAGACTTTGACTAGAATAGCTGGGAAAGACGTGTTCTTGTGTCATTAGGGTTGCTCTGGTGATAGACCGTAAGCCTGGAACTGCTGATGTAGTGTCAATAGGAACAGTAAAGAAAATAATAAGCAGGGGAGAAAATTTAAAAGAAGAATCAATAGGATTTGTGCACTGAACCAATAAGGGAAGGGCGAGAGGGAAGGAAAATAAAAGACAAAATATCTCCAGGCAAGCAAACATTAGATGAATGGTGGCGCTTTTGAAAAATGAAAATAGACCATTTTAAAAGTTCAGCTAATGTTGACAAGATTATCTCTCTGCAAACAGAAACAGTTAAACTTTCTGTTGAGTAATCAGAGCTGGAAACAATTAACCTCCTGCCATCACCTATAGTCTTAGAACATTCACTTGGCATCTCAATTCCATACTTCTCAGCATAGTGGTAGTCCATTTTTATACATTTTGTTTCTTCCCAGTATTTCTCTTTTTTATGGTAACAACTTTTCTTTGAGTAACACCCCCACTCTCAGTCCAGGTGTGGAACTAGGAGCCAATCAGGATTATTTTCTTTCTGGCCACAGCGATTGGGTCAGGGTATATAACCCAGTCATAACCAATAAGATTCAATTCCGGGAGTTTGGTCAGATATGTTGGGAAGAGAGAAGCTCTCTGGTGCCAACAGAGAAGAGAACAGAGCAAGAGATAAATAGAAATAGAAATCAAATGCTGGTGACATTAATTAAGCACCTGAAACCAGCCAAGCCTGAAGGCAAATGACCACTGAATACTTGATACATTACATTCTCTTTTTGACTTAAGTTATTCTGAGTTGGGTTTCTGTAATTTGCAAATGAAAAAGAAGAATTCTGATGAATATACCAAGTTTTGCAAACAGAAACATCTACACAAACTGTGAGTGATCTGAAGACTAAATACTATGCTTTGTTGCTATTTTTCATAAGACTGAAATTGAACCTATTCACTTCCTGGTATTGTAAAACTAGATATTACTACATTTATGGTCTCAGACTTCCATGTCCTACAAAAACCTGAGCTATTAAATGTAACAAGCAAAATGACACCTACTAAATTCAAGAAAATAAAAGCAGGTGCAACACTACCAGCCCAAACGAAATTAGTACATCCACCAAAAAGGCAATGAGAGGGTTCACAGCAGCCTTTTTTTTTTTTTAAATAAGTGCCAGAAACTGAAAACAACCCAAATGTCATTCAACAGCAGAATGAATAAATAAATTGTGGCATAGTTCTAAGATGAAATAATATACAGCAGGAAACAAGACTGAATTTCTGCTACATGCAACAACATGGATGCATCTTACAGATGTAATGATGAGTGAAAGAGTCAGACACAAAGAGTGAAAGAGTACATGCTGTGTAATATTTATACAAAGGTCAAGAAAAGACCAACTAGGAAATGGTGATATAACTCAGAAGTAGCTTGGAAAACGGAGGAGATGAAAAGTGATGCAAGGAAAATGCTAGGGTGCTGGACATGTTCTACATCTGGATCTAGGTGGTGGTTGTGTGTGTGTGTGTAAGTTCATCAAGTACACTTTAGAGTTATACACATCTCTGTAAATATATTACTTCTTAATTTTTAAAAGAAAAGTAAAAAGACCTAAACTAGAAGCTATAATACAAAACTTTCTATTTCCCCAGGAGGCCACTACACCTGTTTTTAAAAATGAAAGATTTTGGCTCACAAACATTTCAAATTTCATTTATATATGAAATACACAAACACACACACACACACACACACACAAATTGGATATAATCCCAGAAAATCTGAATTAATGAAAGCAAAAGCTTCATGAGAACAGGACCCATTACCTGAATTAAATCATTTGTCTATGTGATGCTGTGAAATAAAAGTCATTAGGAACCCAGCTCTTTGCATCAGATAGAACCGGATTCAGTTTCTTTCTGATGGCTGTGTGGACTTGGGCAAGCCACTTGGCTTCTCTGAGTCTGTTTCCTTACCCATCCAGTGCTGACAATAATATCTCACAGGGCTGTCATAAGGAATGACTGAGAAAAGGGACATAAAGCAGCTACCAACAAGTAAGCATTTACCGAATGAAAGTTTTTTTTGTTTTGGGGTTTGTTTGTTTGTTTGTTTGTTTTACCACTATTTGAATTTAAGTGTAATGCAAACCCTGGAAACTTCCAAGGAGATGCCGGTTTGGTAGACAATAGAAGTCATGCACTTAAGAAGGTCATGATTAAAGAAAAAGGAAATGTTTTATAATGAGATAAAGGAAGGAGCAAGTCTGCAAAATTCCTAGCTTGTAATAGGGGCTGTAACTAAATTTTGTTGTGAGCTTATTAGAAAATAATCATGATGGATTATCTGACACCACTTGTGAACCAGAGGAAGTATACTAGTTTTTTAAGAGGGTTACACTTCTTCCCAGCATAAATTTTTGAAAACAACATATCATCAGAACGTTTCCAAAGGGATCAGATAACCACACAATAAAACCGGGAGTGGAGTGGGGAGGAGACTCTGGAGTCCCCCTCAGGCCACTGTGAGGAGATGTGCGGCCACCTTGCAGTAAGGCAGTGGCATGCGGCTATTTCTGGCCAATGGGCTGTGAACTTAAGTGACTGTGACTAAGCCAAAGCATTTAAGAACTAAAACACAACCCGCTGGCACCAACTTTCCCTACCAAGGCAGCCAGTGACATTTCCGGTGGGGTTTCAATCATCAGCCTGGGTTCCTGAGTGTCTACATGGAACACAGCTCACGTCTGCCTCCACGAACCCAAATTGTTTTTATGAAGAAGAAATAAATTTTTATGTGTTAAGCCATTGAAATTTTGAATTTGTTTCTTGATGTGCTTTAGCTTAGCTTGACCGATACAAGGTCATCTTTGTTTAGAATCTTTGACAAATCTATTTTTACATATTTATTCATATATACAAGTATATTCATGTAGTACACACAAACACACATAGATACAAAAACAGATGGTGGAGATAGGTAGATGTAGAAAAGTAGAAAAAGTAGATGACGGATGGACGATAAATAGATAGATAGATGTCATAGGGGATCAGCCAGCACTTAGTTTCAAGTTTATTGATACAGTTCTCTGTTCTGCTACTGTCATTAGACAGGAGCTTGTGTACTGCCTGCCTTTTTCACAGCCCGAGACCAAATGGTGCTTTAACCACTATCACCTGCACTGGGACAAACTCCTAAACAAATAAAAAACTAAGCCCACAGAAAAGGATTGGGAAAGAAGAGGAAGGAGGAAGTAACTTTAAGGAAATAGTCCTGTATTAACGGTCAAATGAAGTGGGTGTGTCTTCTAAGAACCTTATTCATTGATTCCTATTCACTGTTAGAGGAACAAATATCCTTTCCTTTCAAAGGAATAATTCTTCTTTGTGCCTTGGAAAAAGCACAGAGGGGATGCTATACTTTTTTCCCCTCTCGATTTTACTGCTCTAACACTTTCCTAAAAGGGCCAATGAACCCTCTATTCTGAGTCCTCCTTTTGTCATCCCATTTAGGGTTTCCCACTTCACTGTTTCCAAGGTTTTCAGTTACACTCCCAAGCAATCATATGCTTTCTAAGTCTGTTAATTGTGGACTCCCTATTTGATCTTGCAAGGCTCCTGGTTTGAATGGGTGATCACAAAAACCTTGCATTTGTCATTCAGCTAGTCCAGGAATATTCACGTTTAAATTACTGCAGGTCTTCGAATAACATTGTTTTGTTCAATGTCATTTCATTATAACATTGATGAGATGCTGTAGAAACTTAACTCTTGTTTATGTCAATTAGCCGCTGGTAAAATTGGCTTTGTTACACATCATTTCACTTAAAGTCAAAGAACCTATTGATAATATTAAGTAAGAATTTACTGTGTATTTTATAACCACGATGAGATTACATTAAGGATGTTTATCTGGATCTCTGCTGCCTCTCAGCTTTGCCAGTCTTAAAATAACATAAGCCAAGGCAAGCCACCCACAAACTCTTC